CGAAAATATACAATGAGATATGCATATCAACTCACCTTTGAATTCGAAAGTAGGTCGTCGAGGCCAGCTTCTCGAACAATTGTAGTAGCATCCCATGTGTACGTGTTTCTGTCGCGGCAGCCAGTGGCTAGCAGTTTTCCATCTTCCGAAAACGATACGGAGTGAACCAAGTTTGCGTGCTGGAGAGGCAAGCTGATGAGTTGTCCATTGTCGAGGTTCCACAATATTGTCGTACGATGCGCTTGCGAGGATGCGGATATTGCAATGGCCCAGATCTGACCCAGTTGGCGTGCGCTTGTGGTTTTGGTATTCCATGACGGTCCTAAGCGGGCCGGTAACGACGGACACACCTGTACCTGGGTCCAGGAATTATGTGAATGTCTGTCCAAAGTCCGTCCCGTTGTGTACTTTCAACATCTGCTGAGTCTTTTGTCGGTTGTTTGTCTAGGCGGCGGCAACATTTGAAGTTGTCTTTTCTCGAAATTACGAACACAGTAAATGCATCTCTCGACAAATGTATACGCAATACTTATTCGTACAGGTATCCTAATCAATTGTATGTATCTGTCAAAACATTTTTGTATCCATAGTATGCAGAGTAGTACTCCATAGAGGACAATGAAAGGGACACCTGTGTCCCTGCCGCACTTCCAGGCCCGTAAATGCCTTGGCGCAGGAAGTCCTCCGCCAGACTACCGTTCCTGCAGGCCGCTAAGTGCTAAAACTTCAGAGACATCATGTAGGTACAAGGTCAATCCATAAACTCATAAAAAATACAAATCCCACACAGGTAGAGCAAGCCAAAGCCAACCCGCCCCACCAAGCAGTTTCAGTTAAACCCAAGTCTAAATTGTCAGTCATAACGATGTTATATGCATGTTGGACCCCTCTCCCCAACACGCTCGAGTTGCAATAACAATTATCATAGACATCCGCAAACTGCAGCATACTGGCCGTGATTAACCAGACTGCATTGACGGTTGCCAAGAATTTCCCACTCCACCTCAAAAGGTTTGATACGACCTTTGCGAGACGCATTGTGATAGAAAAAAAAGGACTCCAGCTGGATCTGGCCGAGTATAAATATATGTAGTGCGAAATGACACTCGATGTGACGAGCATCGCCCAGACCATCGTAGCCAGTGCACCGTAGAGGATATAACCAAGGGATCTACAACCAAGGCCCTGTCGTGTGCCGTTGTCAACGATACATACAAGTATATGAATCAAATGGTGCTGACCATAGTCGGAGTAAAATAAACAACCAGTACCGCAGCTCCAGTTGTTGCCCATTGCAAAGCTATGGACAGGAGCGACGCCATGAACATGCGGAAGAATATCCCTGACGCCCAGGGGCTCCGTACTCCGTATCTAGGTGCTGCGTATCGGGGAAGTCTACAGTAAGCATTGACTTCGGACGGGTTTCCAGACCTGTTACTGGACTCAATGACGTTCTTCCCGCCCGCGTTCTTCCATATATCACCCGTCCTGACTGGTCTATGCATTCTGGAATTGTTGGAGGCCATTAGAAAAGCATCGAAGACATCCTCCGCCGACCGGGACCATGGGATGGCCCTGGCATAGTTGTAGATAGGTGGAGTTAAGCTTTCGTCAGGAGACGAAGAGTGTTCCAAAGTGGAATCAATGGATATTGCTCGTCTTTCGGAAAGGTCTGATGCCTTTATAACTCCATGATAGGTCGCTACAAATGCCATTGCATCTGCATTGTCCATGGCCCGTTTAATGCGCACATAGTCACACTTTGGGGATAGCTGCAGCCAACCTATAACGATTGGTATGAGCCACAACCAAATCGACCCCGCGCCTTGACCGTTAGAGTTAAGATTGCCGCTGACATCCGATATTGAACCGATGAATGCCAACAGGTATGTAACAGTAACCCAAGCGATAGATGTTGCAGATGCAATAGACCAGGTGAGAGTATAATCGAGGGAATCGGCAATTTTCGGCCACCAGTCATCATTCTCTGGCAGGACAATGAGGGAACTGAGCAGCGAGTCTTCATTTGTTATTTTCAGTGGAGTTTGCTGAAGGCTTATAAGGATGCGGACGGCGTGTTTGGCATTGGGAAAGGACACATTCTCAAATCGACGGCTGATCCACCGAGCGTTGAGAATAGTGAGAATCATCGAGTAACCGACGAGCAACGGTGAACCGATTGTGAGGATGGCAGACATGAGGTTGTCGACCCTATGTCTTGCACCGAAAGGCAGGTGAGAAATGAGCGCAAGGTAGGGTAACAGCCAGGCGCTGAACTGCTGCGAAATGTTCGCCCAGTTTGGCTTCTGTGTTCCAGAGCCGCACTGTGAAAGACACGCGTCATAGGTGAATCCGACAGCTGTTAAGATCTCCGAAGACGAGTTTGCTACATTTCCACCAGTGGCATTGACTAATCCGAACGCGTTGAGTGTCTGATTCGCATTATTTCTGAAGTTGATAAAACAGTCAGTAAAGTTGACCGCGTACGCCCCTTTGAGAGACGTGAGCAGTAGAAAGAACAGTCGAATCTCTGGGCGAATGGTGAGCAGAAGTCAAGACTAGACGTTGGACTCACTCATTGTGTCGCGCATTAGCTGCATCATAGGGCAGAGTGGCCCTATGGATTTATATAAGGGAGTTCCCGATACGTAAGCCCCAGAAAACTGGCAATAAACTTAATGTCCAAAAACCGTTGAACATCGTTACACAGGACTCTTTTGTCTAAACCTGGTGATTCGTTACTAACTGATATCTGAACTTTGAAATCATATAGGAATTTACCGTGTCCGGTTTCACCCGACCTCCGAATCAAGTGAGAACGTTCACTTCGAAGTCAGAAATTTCGCAAATATCACACCTATGACTGACATAATAAGTCTAATGATCTCTATAGAGAGACATACTCCAATCACTACCTTCGAGGAAAACCAGGCATGCAGTTCGAAGCAAAGCAAATAGCCTCGTGCCTGTGTCTATCATGTATATGTGGGGGCTGTGGATTGGTTGAAGATTGAACCAGACTGGGTCGACACCGCAAGATTGTTTAGATAGCGGGTTACAGATATGCACCTGATCAGTAAATGGAAGGAATCGGCCTTGAGCGTTTTACGTGGCATGCACTCCCGATCCGCGGTGCGTTGCTTGTTGTGCAGAACCAACGAGTGTAGTAATAGTGTATGCATTGAAGCGATGGCTCGCTGACAAGGACAGCCCATGACTCGGTGGTAAGGCCTGAATCCTGATGGTTCGAGTCAGGTTGAGGCTTGCCAGATTGATCATGACCGGGACCCGTGATCATGATATCCATCCGAGGACGAAATTTTCAGCACCCCAATATTACATAATACTTTCCAAGTTCTGCAGCTGCATTGGAGTCAAGTAGTACTTAGAAGTTAGTACCATTATATGATAAGGCAGTACTTCGTTCTTTCAGTCACTCGCATCGGTATCTCACCACCCTCAGTCTAATGGCTGAACAATCCGACAGTACTTTTGTCACGCATGTTGCATCAAGCGCATCCATCATCCATGGTACGTAGATTCAGACCTCCCACGAATTTTGTTCTGAATGTCACGATGGAACAGGGAATTAAACCAAAAAACTACGCCGCAGTGAACGTTATAAACCTCACCACTTGAAGAGTCATTTTGTTATCGACCGTCGATTCGAGAACGATATCTGCTGTGAAAATTCTCCTCACCTCTTGAGACTTTGAAGCCACGTTTCCCAGCATCCATACATACGGACAACCGTTCAAGCTCCCAGAAATATCCTACGTATTTCGCGTTTCCCAGCGTATATTAATGGATGGTCGACCAATCTCCACAAAATATCCTACATATTCCGCATCTCCCAGCATACGGATAGTCATCCAATCTCCGCGAAGAATAGCACGGCATTCAGGCTAAATCATTACACATTGCAAGATGCTCCTCGGTCACTTCGCAGGCTCCCCCTCGCATGTTGATGGTTTTTCCATTCCCTATTCTGCACGAGGTATCATCATTGTGCGTGAATGAGGATTTTTATGTGGGTCGACATAGGCTTCATAGAATTTTGCCGCGACTTTTGTTCGATGTTTGCCCCTCTTGATTGAGAGGTACATGCGATTCTCTGTTGATTGCGACACGAACAAGGACTCTGTAGACGTCTCGAAAATTTCAAATGCCGGGTTCACGCAGACGGCGGTGACGAAAGGTGAGAGGAGCGTGGGAGGGAGACACGTTTTGTGAACTGCTCGACATCGCAATCGTGATCTTTGAAGCAGCGTAGACGTCTCTACTTTTAAGCCGTGTAGGACCAGGTGTCTAGCTAGGAGAGTGCTGTAAGATGTGCGTACAAATCATACATTTTCCGGCTTAACACTGTAACAGATCACCACATATTACCCCTTCGCCGCCGAAGGTGAGACGAGTTCCATCAAAATTTTACCTTGAACATGTTATCTGATGATGATATGCTCCCCCAAGTTGATATCGGCGATGAGAGTTGACTCGCACATTTACTGTTACATCATGACCATGGCTGGAGAGTACGAAGTATCTCTGCCGGTTCCGTGGCTGCTGCTCGTATGAGTACCGATGCACGACAGATGTCCCTTCTCAGTCCCACCCTGGCGGGAGTCCTTCGACGAAGTGGTGTTTTTCCTAGGCGTCTCTCGTGCACAAGCAATATATCTTGGTCCTCGTAAAACCAATCCGTGATTGCCCCAGTTACTATGGTCTCTGCAATATCCCCGTTCCTTGTGTTAATGAGGTGCGTTGCACTCCATGGACTCACTTTAGGATTTGACGTACACAAATTGCATCCTCGCTCTTGAGTCCCTTTTCTTTTCGATTCGTCTGTGTACTTGCAGACGATTGCACCGATCCAACGCCAACAACACAGATGCAAGTGACTTTTTGTTGCCACGATACTTTCTCCCTCCATATTTGTAAATAATTTATACCAGAGCAGTGGTACCCTACGATGACTTCGTGCCATGTGGAAACGAGCACTTGTGGATAGTCACGGTGAACACCAGTCATTTCCACCTCTGCTGCGTTACAACTCAGGTACCTTATTGTAGGGAGTTCCACAGCTGTTTCGTCGGTGCACTCTCGCATGCAGCCACATCTATGGTCTATTGTTCATGTGCTACGACGCTTTATCTTGTCACCACTTTTCCACTAGTGCTTAAGCCTCCACACTCTACCTTCCACATTTTTCCACTACGTTTGTATCGTATAAGACGCCATGTTTTATCGCCACTCACTCATCATCTCCCACCGCTTCAATTTTCCAGCAGTCAGTTGCCATCTCTCAAAGTCCTACTCTTCTCCTTACATCTTTTATTTCTACTCGAATCATGGAACAAGTGTGTTCAAACCTAAAGTGCTCTGCAGTCATCCCGATCCCGGAGGTATGTCCTTTCCTGTTCTGCTGTTGTCTCAATTCACATTTCTTCGTGTGCAGGGTCAAGAAGTAGCAATGTTCGACCGTAAGTCAATTTGCGAAAAGTGCTATGGCAAACCCATTTGCGCAAAGTGCGACCGTTTGTTGCACGTAAGATGATTCTCTTGGTTTCCGGATTATGCTGATTTAGACCTTCACCTGCAGGCGCCGCTCCCGATTATCCCCGCAAGACAAATTGTGCCAGTAAGTGTTTGACTTTCCCTTCATTTTGTCGCTAGAGTGCTGACCCCTACAAAAGGTATATGAAGAACCAGAGGCTTGCCAGATTGAAGCAACCCACGCGTATCTCCCGAGACCCAAGCCGGGCTACGCGATTAGGCGTGTACAAGTCCCCGACGGGGAGGGTGGTATGCGGTACGAGTACATTTCTCGCCGTGTGGAACGGCACACCCACGCCAAGCTGGTGAACCGTGTCAAAAAGTTATTTCATTTGACCCAGCGGGGCTCTCAGAACTAGGTGCTGAATGTTTGCACCGATTATTAACCATTCTGGACCGTATTTTTATGTCTACCTATTATGTATGCACAACACCATACAACCTTATATCTAACTAAAGTTCATTGTGTACTATGATCTTGCGCATATTCTCCTCTGGACCGCCCTTTATATCCACCATGGGCTCGCAAGTATGGTCCGCATAGCATAATAAGAACATTGAGATGAAGATGGGTGCGCAGGAACGGGGCTAGTTGACACCGTATCGCACCTCGCTCTGTCGGACTAAGTTCAAACAATGTAGGCTCTCATGTAAGACGGAGAGCAGCTCGATCTCGTCGGTGCCCGGGAGCAGTGGCAACTTCCACGTGCACGATGGTATCGTTTGATCATACGACAACAAAAACCTTGTATGGTGACCAGACTCCTACCCATCGGCAGTGTGTTGAGAGTACATCCGAGTGCTGCCACACAAACCAAATACGACCAACAATAATTCAAACAGCGCAACTTTGGACTCTAACACACTTGGCCGACTGGCACAAGTTGTAGTGGCACAAAGGTTGTATCTATTTGTCCCTCCAAAAAATACCTTCGAAATAGTCGCCTAGTGTTTTATTTAACAGTGTGACCTTCTGTGACACAACACATATCCATTTCGATTCTTTTGAGTTAACCTTAGCATTACGATGTCGGCCCATCAATTCAAAGTACCAAATTTGACCGATATGAAGATGGTCATTCACAGTACATTCGGTATCACCCCCTGTACTTGGCAACTTTGGTCGGCTTTGCTTCAGCTTGAGAAGAAAAATGTTTTGACTATTTCTCCGACTGGCTCAGGCAAAACGTTCATGTTCTGGATCCCCCTTCTATTCAACAACAATGGAATTATCCTCATAGTGACACCTCTGAATATTCTTGGCAAGAAAACTCATAACGGAGCAAAAACGCTGGGCTTCCCAGCCTACAATCTTTCTGCAGAAAATGCTACCGATGCTCATTGTACAACAGTAGTTCATGCATGACAGCGCTCATTTGATCACAGACTCGCTGACTACTATGCCTCATGTTCTCCTCGCACTGCACTGCTAATTCCCTACAGTTTATTTATTTAATCAATATTATATTTCAATAATAATTATATCAAAGGTTTATTCAAATACGCCTGCGTCACGCCTGGGTGCACTGGCGACTATTTCGAAGGTATTTTTTGGAGGGACAAATAGATACAACCTTTGTGCCACTACAACTTGTGCCAGTCGGCCAAGTGTGTTAGAGTCCAAAGTTGCGCTGTTTGAATTATTGTTGGTCGTATTTGGTTTGTGTGGCAGCACTCAGATGTACTCTCAACACACTGCCAATGGGTAGGAGTCTGTATGGTGACATGAATCACCATACAGCAAGTTGACCCCTCGACAGCATACTTCTTCGAAAGAAATGTTCAAACTATGCAAGGAATATACCTAAATTTATATCGCATCATCATAACATTGTGATGCGTAACATACAAAGCCCCAATTTACTGTCCAGAACGGACCAGACAGTTGAGATGACACCTGGGTGTTTTAAATAGCGCAGAATTCTCGCAAAATGAAAGGTTATTATCTGTTGTCAAAAATCATTCGTGAGAACACAAGTAGGACACATACCTGCGAAGCTATTGCTACTGCTGCCCGAATGAAATGACAGATTTGAAAAGGGAGTGGTGTTCTGATGTGCCAGTGATTAGCATAATTTGGTGGTTAGTTAAATGACAATTGCTGATGGATAGTAAGTACTGGGTGTGGACTGAACAGGAGAAAGAATGGATGAGAAAACTAGCTGGGCGTCAATAACTCAGAAAAGTAGGGATAGCCTTGTGTCAGTCTTGAGCTCGCGATAGCTAGCAGCGGCTGAAACATAAAAAATTGGTAGGATCCGACCTCATTCCATGTTTCAACCAGAACAGAGATCTGTGGGTATGTACGAATGAATGCTTGGACAACAATAATGCTGGATGGGTGCTGACTCATGGAGACCACATGCATAATAGAATATGTTGTGCTTCACCAGGATGACGTGTGTATTGTTGGACGTTCGCCACCAGGTCTGGACGACACGTATGAGTGTCAAGAAGACAAGTCCTTGGGGAATGTTAGTCATCGCGTCTAATGTAGTGAATACTTCAAGTTCTCGGTGACATACCCAGTTGAAAGATAAACAAGAGAAGAAATGGCAAGGAGAATTGGACGTGGGTTGAGCTCCAGTAGCAGCCTGTGATACCTGGGATCGTGCTAGTTGTCACTGTGAGGTGGAGTGAATGCGTGCGAATAGAAGTGAGAGGAGGTGAGAACACAAACCATAAGACGTAGCGATCACGCTAAAATAAATGCCGATGAACAACAGCCTGGCTAATCCATGGATCATGGAATCAGATGTCGAGGGCATGGGACTCACAAAAAGGGCGGACAGCATGGCTACAAGTACAATCTTATTTCTTTTCCAAAGCACATATGTCCTGAGCACAAAAAAGCCTGGAGGAATGGAATCAGAAGCACGTGTATGTCGCAGATGAAGGAGAGATACATTCAGAGCAACACTCGGTAAGGACGTGCATATAGCATATGCCGTGCACATACCTGAGTAAATATTGATAGGCATCTTGCATTATTATGTCATACAGTCATTGTAGTCAGCGTCATTTGCTGGCAGGTAGGTAATTTCACTGCATATTCACATACTTTTGAGTTCTTGTTCGGGGAGAAATTCAGTTTAAAAAGACATGTCAACTCAATGGCCGCCATGGGAGAGACATATGCCGAATTGACCGCACGAATTATGTCCAATATGACAAATACAAAGGGACATGACATGCAATGATATGAAGGACTTTACTTTAGTCCAGTGCAACCGACACAGGAACATCCACTTTAAACAGCATGTGATCAGCATTTGAATCGAGACACCAGTGCATCACCTCTTCTTGAAGTGAACAAACATAATCATAGGTCTAGATAAGCGAGTTTAATGACGGACAGGAAGAGCTTACCCAGCATGTCGACATCGAGGCTGAGCTGTCACATTAAATCATGGAACAAAGCAGTTCAGACGACATGTACTGCATATGTACTAGTGACCCATGGCATGTCTGTCATTGTCATGTCATCTAGTGCTGCCATGGTCCAGTTCCAAACCGTGGTTCGAACCTGACCATTGGTCAGGTTTATCCTTGGTTCAGTCCATGGTCCAGCATTTTGCATGGACCAAACCAGAATGAGGTTTGTGGTCTGCTAACTCCTGTGCAGTTTATCTATAGGTTCAGACCTTCCCGAACCATTCCGAACCCTGAACTGAATCTTCCTTGAAATGCCTTCAAGGCTCAATCACATGCTTATGGTCATTTTGACTTCTCAATCCTCAAGATTCGCCATGGTCACTTTGACCTTTGGCATTCTCAAGACTTTTTTTGACTTATCCTGTCTGGAGGTTCACATCCTGCACACCCTGCTGTCCGATAATGCCTACCTGTTCAATCAAGCTCAAGGTATGACTTTTCCATCAAATCAAGTGCAATCAACTGATTGACATATTATATTTCTTAGGATCCTTCAATGCATACTATGAGTTAGTAGGAGATTGGGTATTCACATATAAAGGGAGCAAGGTGAGTGATATATTTTGACTACCAGTACAATGTCTGAACCTGAAGCACAGTGTGCCCTCAACCCAGATGGGTCTCTAAAGGACGCCAAAGACATCATTTTTTACAATGATCCTGATGATGCTGTCCCCATTCCCACTCCATCCTCCTCTGCCCAGCCACCCACAGACACCTTCTCTGTGCTACTGCAGACTGGACGCAAACCAGTGCCACTTACTGCAGGTGCTCCATGCTCCATCCGCACCTCTAAACCTTCTGTGCGCCTTCGTGATTCCGACAATGCTTGTTCTTCAACAAGCCGCAAGTGCGCATTATCTAGTGCAACTGAGCAACTAGTTAGGAAGAAGGTTGTGTTACAGCTCTCCATACCATTATCTGACAACAACACAGATATTGATACTGACCACGGTGCTGGTCAATCGGATGAGGCCGAGGACAAAGATGTACCAGCACCTGAGGATGAACCTGAGGACAAACCCGAGGATGAACCCGAGGATGAACCCAAGGATCTTCAAGACACCACCATCCGAGCCGCTTTATCAAAGAGTGAGTGCAGCACTGATATTTGAACAATCTTCACTCGCAATGACAAACATTGGGTCTGCAAACCTTGCAGGGATGCCGGTGAACTTGAAAGCAAGTACACATTTCGCAGAGGTATCTCTACACTACGCACGCACATTTGTCAGTATGTTCACGTCTTCTTTCTCTTGAATGATCACTAATTATATATATATATATCAGTAATAAAGGCCATTTTCAACTTTATAAGTCATGCTGTGAAGCTGCAAACATCACCATGCACCCTCGAGTGGTTCCAACTGGTGAGGTTCAATCCCTGTGAGTTACATTTGCCATATTGTAGTGTGTTGTACTGATTCATAGATAGTTCAAGGCAATCCACCCTTGATGGCAGCCTTGCCCAGAAAGCGCCCATGTTTACCAAGGCAGGGCTTCTGGAGTATATTATGGAGTTGATTGTGACCGAGGACGAGGCATTGCAACTTGTCGACAAACCAGCCTTCCACAACTTGCTTCATTATGTCTGCCCTGCCCTTGCTGAAAGTGACATGCCACACTCACGAAACTTACGGAGACTGTTAAGGCCTGCACAGTGCAGGTGGTCAACATCATTTGTGAGTGTCTCGCAAAGGTAGACAGTCAAGTCTCGATGACCTTTGATTCATGGACATCAATCATCGGCGACCTTTTCTTCTCCATCACAGGCCACTATATCTGGAGCCCAGATGACAAACCCCAGCAATGGGAGTTACGCCGTGAGCAACTCAGTTTTGTGCACATCCAGGGCAATCATAGTGGTCAGAATACGGCTCGCTTGATTGTTGATACCATTGACAAATATGAACTACGAAATAAGGTAAAGTTTAGTCTACTACTTTGCTGCTGCTGAATCTAATCAGTGTGTTGTAGGTCAGATGGATGACCTCTGACAATGCCACCAATAATGATACCGCCATGAAAGCAGTTGGACAAGAAATCAATCCTGAGGGTACACAGTGGGCACCTGATACACGCCACATCAGGTGCCAAGAACATATACTTAATCTTGCAGCATGCCACTTCGTTGATGCCTGTCGCCCCCACACCTCAAGCTGCTCTCATGAAGAAAATTTGACAAGCGCTTTATAATGGCAACGACGCTGACCTCAACACCTTAAATAAACAGCTTTCTTCCATGGACAGTCAGTAACAACGACAACAATGATGACACCTTATTCGATACCGGTGATTCACTTGGCAAAGCTCTTGCCCTCATTGAGCAGGTACATGCTATATTTTTAGACTATTCTTTTGCTGATCGAGATCCTCAGATCCGAAAGTCCCCTCAAGCTCAAGCATTTTTCCGCAAGGCTTGCAAAGAGGAAAATGTACCTGAACTTAAGCTCTTGCAATGGATCCAGACTCGCTGGGCATTGCTATATAAATGCCTGGACCGCATGTTGATCTTGCGTCAAGTGAGTTTGTTTTCTTTCAATGTTTAAAAGTGGCCTGATTTTAACTAAATAGGCCGTAAACCATTTCACCAACCTTGCCGACGAAAGCCATGAAGTGCCAACTCTTTGCAACAAGACTTACAACAACTTCAAGCTCAATTGAAGTGATTGGAGACACCTCGGGCTTATTCACCGAGTCCTCAAGGAACCAGCCATGGCTCAGCAATCATTCTCATCAGCAAAACATCCGACCTGCATGGAAAACGATCCCTACACTAGAGAGCCTCACTGATCGATGGAGATCCATGGCAGTTGACCCGCAATATCTTCCGATTGCTGATGCAATTAAGGCCAGACTCAAGAATGTCAACAAATACTTCAAGAAAACAAGTCAATCAGATGTTTATTTTATTTGTCTTGGTGAGTACTATCAATTTTTAAAACTCGTTCTTATCTAATATAATTTAAGTTCTTGATCCAAACTATAAGCTCGCATACGTTGAAGGCTGGTGGGATTTTGGAGATGTTGCAGATGGCAGAGCTCGTCTGGAGGCCATGGTGAGTACTCATCTATGTTGTTTTCCCACTCTAATCTTATTTTTTTTTGTAGTTCAATGACTATTATACACCGCCGAGTCAAACACCTACTACCAACGAGCAATCTGCTCCGCCGATGAGAGCTGCCAGTGTATGCAAGCACTATGGCGATGATTGGATGTGCGAGGCTATTAGGACGTGTAAGACATCAGACCACCTTACTCACAATCCTCATCAAGAGCTCAACATGTACTTGTCTTTGCCACTAGAGGAGACTGATGACATTGTGGCCTGGTGGGGGGTAAGTTTTCTTTTTGACTTGTTTTTTCGCTACTAAATCTACTTAATAGCTTCACTTGCTGCAATACCCTACACTCGCATGCATTGCGCGAGACTATCTACCCATTCAAGGCAGCTCTGTTCCTTCCAAACAAGCATTCTCAAGCAGAGGAATCACTTCGACTATCCGACGCAATGCACTCACAACTGACACGTTCACTGCACTACAACTACTGAAGGGAGCATATAGGAATGGGCATCTATCTGCAGAAGTAGAGGCTGAGGAACATGCGGCTTCATTGGACATGTAACTACGAGTACAAATATCTTGCCTATGTTTTTTTTCCTGGCTGTAATTTTTTTGTGTTCAGGTTCACGTTCAGACCGAGAAAAAACCTGAACCTGACCGCTGCGAACCGTTCACAAAGGTTTGGTCTAAGGTTCATTGAAATAACTAGAACCGAACCTTGGTCTGGTTTTTGGTTCTCGTCCAACCACCTCTGAACCGAATGGAACCGGACCGCAGCAGCACTAATGTCATCATGTTAAGAAAGCAATGCACCACTAAGCACTGCAGACTCTTGACCACTACGATCTCGTCAACTGAATATACTCCATTTGTTCGAGGTAAAAAAAAAAGGGGCTTTATGTGCTCATCATGCACCTTAAGTATCTCATCTTTGAACCCACCACAGTCTAAACCTTACTGATCTACTAAGGACACCATTTGGCTTAGCTTGTCAATGACAGTCTTGATCAGGGCTGTTAAACTTGATAAAAGTTCCAGGACCTAGATTTGAATAGGTACTAGTCTGACCATTTTACCGTACCTCTGTGTATGGAAGCAGCCGTAAGGCCTTGGTTTTGGTTTTGTACAGAGGTGCCGGGACTACTAATAGCACTAGTAGTAGCCTACCCGCCGGAATGTTCCGGCGCCACTGTACGTCATGAGCGAGTGTTCGCTTCCCACATTCATTTTCTCAGCCACAACGTCGAGTTCACCATCACTCGCACCTCCTCACCCACAGTTTTTCTTTAGACATCTTTTTTTGGTATGGCCGAGCACCTCAGTATTGAGCTCAGTAGCAGAGCCTCAGCTACTCATCAACCCACGGCGCCGTCCCACCCAATTCAAGTTCGAATTCCCACCCAGCATTATCCGCGAGGCAATCCACCGCGAGCAGTGGAGATACTGCTGTTCTAGGGCTACCAGTCTATCATGATGCTGCGCAGCCATCAAACTCGCAGGGTACGCAGCATTCCGTACCCCAACACACTCGGCTTTCCACCGCGCAAGCTGCGCACTTAATTCGGTACTTCGCATATTGTCCGCGCAACTAACAGCAGTACGGCTAGCAGCTGCTCAGCCCTTGATTAATCATGCTCCCACGGATGGGATCGGTGCTCTGAAGGCACAAATTACCGAGTTCGAGCACAGGGAAGCCGGCAACCATTTACCTGCCGGAGCACTTGTTCCCCATCAATTTTTGATAACAGACCCTGGAGCTGTCGACGGCACCTGAGCGAGTCTGCAGTGTTAAAATCGAGTCTAAACGAGCTACCTTGCCTGCCCTCCGACCAAGAAACAAAGTCAGTCTGATCTGCATATGGAATACCTGAACAATTTGTAGAAGCTCTTTTACTTTGATGTGTTGCAGAGTCCCTTAAAGAGCAGAGCCTTGGGGCATTGTATTTTTTTGTGGCCATCGGCATCACGCCCTGATACGGTCTGAAATTTTGGTAATTACATAGAACAATGGCAGTAAATGGAAACACAGCAATTGTAAATGAGAAAGCAGATTCGTCCACCAGGCTATAGAGGTAGGTACTGTGCTAGGTCAGCACATGTTTCACCATGGTTAGGGTAGGTTAGTAAGAGGGTGACCTTGTATTGTTCTCTTGGGTTCACCTGGGGTAGGGTGCCCCTAGGGATGAGCTACGACACGATCAGGGTTAAATGTGAGGCGTCAGGTGCCTACAATTGGTTAGTCGCTGTCCTGTGCCAGACGCTCGAAAAATATAGTACGATCCGCAAGAGCCTATTTCATCCGTGAGCTTGTTCTGCAACAAGAGAGATTTACGTTCGTGAATAGAGTGAGCGCGGTGGGATGAAAACCCAGAACATATTGCAACGTGCAGGAGTTTTCATGGTTGATCATGAATATCTACAAACAGTTTATGTAGCGCCGGCTCTGCGATATGAGTCAAGATTCAAAACAGAGAGGGTACTCATCGACCAGTCATCTCGTAGGTCAAACCTTGGTTCATGAACGACGCCAAATAAGCCAAACCACGCTATAAGACTTCACACCGTAATGACCGTACGATCTGCAGATGCAGATGACATATCGGACATGGATATACACGTGAAGATCTCGGGGCTATACACGTAACGGTCGATATGCCAGAGATGGAGGTGCATGCGCGTGGCGAGAAGCGCAAGGACAAAGGCCTCCAAACTGGACATGTGTATGCGAGGGTGCTGTCAGTAGAAATTGGCAATACAAGTTGGAAATGCATACTCTTCGAGGAGGGAGTAATATACAGCCTGGGTGTGCAGAATATCAGTGTCATATCGACAGGTATAGGGACATTTACGCACATCAGAAAAAATTATTGGCGCAAGGACATTCACAGCTGAGAGAACTTTGGAGATAGCAGCCATCATTGATAAGGACAGAGAGATATGAAGGTGCTGACTCACATAGACCGCACGCATAGTAGAATATGTTGTGCTTCACCAGAACAGCGTAAATATCGCTATTGGACGTTCGCCAGGTTTGGACGACACGTATGAGCGTCAAGGAGACAAGTCCTGGGGGGAGCGTCAGTCATCGCGTCTGATATAATGTATACTCTAAGTTCCCGGTGACATACCCAGTTGAAAGATAAACAAGAGAAGAAATGGTAAGAAGAATTGGACGCGGGTTGAGCTCCGGTAGCAGCCTGTGATACCTGGGATCGCGCTAGTCGTCACTGTGAGGTGGAGTGAATGCGTGCGAATAGAAGTGAGGGAAGGTGAGAGCACAAACCATAAGAAGTAGCGATCGCGCTAAAACAAATGCCGATGAACGATACCATGACAGCCTGGCTGATCGATCAACCATGAAATTGATGTTGAGGGCATGGGACTCACAAAAAGGGCGGACAGCATGGCTACAAGTACGATCTTATTGCTATTCCAAAGCGCATATGTCCTGAGCACAAAAAAGCCTGGAGGAATCGGATCAGAAGCACGTGTATGTCGTGGATGAAGGAGAGATACATTCAGAGCAAGCGAGTGATATCACTCCGAAACCTGTAAGAAACCGCAACGCTCAGTAAGGACGTGCATGTAGCAAGCACCGTACACGTACTTGAGTAGATGTAGACCAATATTTTGCATTTCTGGCGATGTCGTGCAGTCAGTCAGTGTCATTCATCGGGCGGCAAGCAACTCCGCTGCATATTCACATACTCTGGTGTTCTCATTCGGAGCGAAATTCACTGAAACACAACATGTCAATTCAATATTGGGGGATGTATGCCAGGATTGAACGCACGAAATATGTCCGTGATGACGAATAGAAAGGGGACATATCGCGCAATGATATAAAGGACTTTTGCCTTAGTCCAGCGCGACTGATGCAGGAACGTCCACTTTGAACAGCATACTATCAATATTTGAAGCGAGGCATATCACAACACAAACGCGTCACCTCTTCGTGAAGTGAACAAATATAATCATAAGTCTGGATAAGCGAGTTTAACGGCGGACGGGAAGAGATCGGAACAAGCTTACCCAGAATGTCGCTATCGACGCTGAGCTATCACGTTAGAACGCGGAACAAGCAATTCAAATAGCACGTACTGCATATGTACTAGTGACCCATGGCATGTCTGTTATTATCTTGTCATCGTATTAAGAAAGCGACGCACCCCCAAGTACTGCAGACTCTTGGCCGCTGCGATCTCGTCAGCTGAATATTCCATGTGCATTCGTTCGAGGTGAAGAAGGGCTTTACGCGCTCATAATGCAGCTTCTTAAGTATTTCTTTTGAATAAGCTTTGAGATGGGGTCTGAACGTTCTGAACCTTAATTTTTCAAAGACACCATTCGGTTTACTAGCTTTGATCGGGGCATGCCGTGTTCCATTAGCTGATTTAAAGTTGACGTGATCACAGGCCGCACCTGCAGGCTAACTTGATGGAAGTTACAGTTGGGTTTCAGTATAGTTTTACTGTATAAGTACTGTAGGGGACGTAAGACACTTACTATATTCAATTAAGTTTGAACGTGGCACAGTTTGACTCGCCTGAGCTCATTGTGTCGACCTCTTTTAGATCAACTCTAGCCATTTCGGAAATACCGTGGTTCTTCGGAGATGAGGTTAACGCGCGCAATGATGCTATCTCGTCACTTTTTAGGGTTGAGTCACACCTGGATCTTGGGACTGAATCTCGTCCAGTCATCAAGCAGATTGATGTAAGGGTGAAGATGCGGTAACGGGAAACGAACAGTAAGCCAGCGAGGTGCACCACAGTCATAACGGTTGAACAAGCTCGAGGAAGCTTGCTGGAAGTTTCGAAGCATGTGTAGATAAATAAAATAGTATCGGCGGAGGCGTCCCTTTCTGTACTAGTCATGAGGGTATTATATAAAATAATACGTGATGACCTTCCGGAAGTCGACACACCGGTGACCCCGACTGGGCGCTTGCAGTTAGTCAACTTGGATAATTAATAAATGAGTTATACATATTTGGTTATGGAAACCTCGCCGATATTATCAACGCAATTGATGTATGGTAAGAACGAAAAAAAAAACATGACTCGGATATAACAATGCATGTGCATGAAATACGAATGCGTGCTGGAAAGTATCCCGAGAAAGTCAATGAGTAGTCGTAGCCATCAAGCGCAGGAACAACGACAACTTTGAACTAACGTCGAAAATAATCAAGGAAAAGAAGGTCTGAGATCATGACGACGACGACAATGTACTTTACACATACGTATGATCATCCAAACTTAAGTGGTGTCCGTCGAAACGTGAGTGTAAAACGTGGTGCAGCATTACAAATTCAACTTCAAATATGGTCTTTTTGAAACCCTGCGCGCAATCAGTCTACTGCCTTATAGACTCATACGCAGGGGGAACATCTCTAGGTTCTCCGGCTTCTTCTTCACTATGAGCTCGTCCCGCATCTTGATGCTGAACAACGCCGGACCCCTCTCCGTCAACTTCTTGCTGGGTAGCGAGGCTGAGGCCTTGACGGCCAGCAGCAGCTTCTCTCTCCTTCATTGCCCGGCTGCTGGAGGAGGTGTTGCTGACGCTTGGGGCGGGTGATGTAAGTGGAAGTGGATTGTGCCAGTCTGCTTGTTGCATTGCGTACATGTTAGGTACTCCTTGAGGATACTGGCCTGGGCCAGGGCGGATGAATCCCTGAGAGGGGTATCCCTCACTGGGAGAAGTGACGGTGTCGCTGTATTGGGAAGGGGAGCTGAGTGGAGAGGTTGTGCGGTTGATAGCTGGGACGGCAGCTGCGGCACCACCCGCAGCTAAGAATGGACTTTCTCCGTATTGTCGCATACTTCCGGCATGGTCAGGGTAGGGGGTGATCTCGGTTTCATCGCCAAGGTCTACTTGGGGGAGTGTTCCGCCGCCTGAGGGGTGGGAAACGACCCGATCGGGGTCAAAGTTGCCGTCGAACTCGTCTCGCCTTCTGCGACGACGTAAGCAGAAGAAGAGGAGCCCGAAGATGACGATTAAGGCGATACCACCGACGACGCCACCTACAATTGCACCGGTGTTTGATGAGTTGTTTGTAGTAGAAGGGCTTGTTGAGACAGGGATTGAGGTTGTCGTGGATATCTCCGTTGTGACAACGACTGTTGATCCGTAAGAATTTATTGAGCTAGTTGATGGGGTAAATAACTATGGAAGAAATGAGATAAGAGTGGACAAACGTAAGGGTGACGGGTACTGTAGTAGCGACGGATGTCATGGAGGTTGTAGTTGGAGTTGTACTAGTGGTGGAAGGGGTAGTTGAAGTTTGTCCATTGCTGGTCGTGGTTGCAGGTGTGGATGATGTAGGAGTTGTAGTTGGTGTTGATGATGATACTGGTGTTGATTGGGATGTCGATGTTGGTGTTGTCGACGTTGATGTTGGAGTGGTAGTAGTAGCTACAGATGATCAATTAGTGATGTTTGTACATTTGTTAGGATACGAAAGGGGAGAAGAAATACTTGGTGTTGTAGGGGTAGGAGTGGTAATAGGTGGAGTTGTTGTAGGCGACACTGTTGTTGCCGCGGGCGATGTCGTCGCCACTGGTGCAGACGACATGATGGCAAAAAGGAACAAATCGGATTTTGGAGTTGGAGCCTGTTTTAGGAGAGAGACTATAAAAGTATCATATGGAAAAACGTTTGCTCAAGAACTGCGCAGCCAACACGAGGAACAAGGTTTTTAACACGTAAACTTGCATTTATTCAGCACAACCATTCAATCTCCGACTTCATGTCAATGCCCGTGTCTCAAGTCTGCCATCCATGCCCGTCTCCATGCACATGTGGTACCATACCTTTTCTCCGTCTCATCTCGTAAAATCAAAACTTCGTTCCCCAGAATTAAGGTCCACATCTGATACCCTCGACCTGCCTTGCCTATTATTGCAGCCACAGTTTCCACGTCGCGCACTACCGACGTCCCGTCTGTCCTTGTTGTCCCAATGTCGACTTCTCTCTTTCGATTCCACCACCGTGATTCTCACCGACACCCACGGCCCCAAGACCTCGTGCGAGTAAACATCCAAATAAACTAACTTCAGTCGGGTTTGCCCAAGCGTATTTAGAAACAACTCCTCAAATCCGCTTTTCCAACTATAAATTTCACCCCACATCGCTACATCATTCCCCCAACCCTCCGCTTTCTCCCCGCGAGAAGTTGCCAGAATGGGCATGATGTGTCCTACTGACGTTTAGATAGTATCCAATAATTGGCTTCTGGATCGCCCACAGCTCTTCAAGTACGTACGTACTAACACGAGTAACAAGACAATATATCTTGCTCTCCCGCCTGGACCTACATTGTCGCGAACGAGCTGACGATATGTCATTGATTCGATCAACTTGTGACTTGTCGGTTTGTGTGGGATACTTCTCTCGAGAAGAAGACACCACGGTCTATGATGTCACCGGGAGGACCACGGCATATCCTTTCCACAGGTACCCGCTGCGTATGCGCCAAGAAGGAAGTCAAGTAGTTTCATAGCATTCAGGATCCTGGATTCGTTATAGGTCTCCTTACCTGTAATCGATGAGTGGCCTTCCAATCGATGTGTGCATCCTCATGAAATAATACTTGTCGTGCACTTGCACAAGCTGCGATTCTCATCCTCCACGTCCCCTGATTTGGTAGAATATTTCGCAGGAGATAAGTAACACCGGCCTTCGCGGCCCTGTTTCCAGGTTCGTTGTTCCGACTAATTTTGCACATCTTATGAGTGATATATCGTGATAAATAATCACCCAGATACAATCGCAAAGGCAGGTGAATGTCTGAAGCGTGCACATGCCTTTGCCGTCAAGTGCTTTGATAGCTAAATAGGCAATACATCATCTGTACAAAGTTCAAACTCGTGGCTACTCTGAGCTCAATTAGGTAGTGCAGCAGATGTTGCTACTGTCCCGACCTTTGGCACCTCGTCAACAAGGCATGGTGGCCATGCACAAGCATCTTGACGCCACATTCCGGCTTATCTTGTTGAGTCTCGCATTCACCGTCCTGATCGCTACTAAATGACAAGGCAAATCCTCTTACAATTCTGCTGCTCCTGCTGTGATTGCATGAGCGGCAGTGGGCTTCGTTATATACACCACTCGCTCGCTCGTTGGGGAAGCGCCTATGAGTGAAATTCAATTATACTTGCAAAATCTATCTCTGGAAATTGACTCGAGACTATCACGACGGAGTCACTTGCTTTCGTCTCACCCGAACGCTGAGTCAGAGTAAGTACTAGTGCCGGTGGAAAAGTCTGTCAGTTACCAGATTCGCAGCAGGGCAGACATAGGGTGAGACCATATTTTCGTAATATGAAGGGTACTTGACATTTATTGACGTTGACTTCCCATGACGCAGCTGCTTGATAACTTACAAAGGACTCGGAGGGGAACCGCCGTGTAGGCAGTGCTATATATATTGTCTCAGACTCATGATACCTTCATTTTTGATTTTTGGGACTGAAAATGTCTTTCACAGACGATCAACGATCAGTATGCTTGAATGTCCGTTTATGTATGAGATCTCCAGTCGGGGGTCGATCAGATGGTCATTTGGTCACATTTACGAGATTCATATGGAATGATACACGGTGCCCTCTCAGACCCTGCTCCATGCAATAAACAATAAGCTAACAATCGATACTGAAGTCCTCCATTTCTTGCGGCACATAAGTATTTCATATGCACGATGATAAGTATATAGTTACAATTGGAGTGTCAGATCTAATGAATCATAAACACATATATACGGAATACAAGACAGTAAGCAGATATTTCAAACAGGCACATCTTTGCCGTGTTCTCGAGAAGTTTCTCGTGCGCCGAGTCGGGTGCTTGCATCAATGACTATAGATCCGAGTCGAACGTGAGGATCATGAAACTGGTACGAAGGTAATGTGTAGTGACTCACTTTCAAGTCCCCAAACATGCTGGTGCGGTGCAGGAAAACGAGAAGGATCGAGGACGTGCTTAGTGTCAAAGTCAGTCATCAACAAAAGTAGCACCCCAAGGTTGAAGGGGACATGCGCATCCCACTCCTGGACTTTTGTCACCGAGTCGCACTACTCACTTAGCATAGAGTAAGGCAAAATGTAGAATCCAGTGTATTTCATAATAGAGACAATACGGACAAAAAGTGGAAACAGCAGCGGGGGTTTGGAAGATGTAATGCAGAACATCACCTCTGGCTATCCTCGAGGCATATGCTTCTACCCTGTCAATAAGGCTTGTGTCGGGTGGCCTTCACAGTTTTTATTGATTCCATCTGCGAAGTATAAAATACTGCATCGACACAAAAACGGACGGGAAAAGAGGGTACTCACTCTGTCCAAATGAAGTGGATCCTGTTGGATTGATACACGTACCCCTGGCTCGCAAAGACTAGAGCACACGTGCGTGCACATAGCTTCGAGTCATAGTCCGTATAACCCAACAAAACGAGAATATGCACCCATTTGAACTCCACAGTGTCGACCTTTGATTAAATGAGGCGCTGGACAAAAAGTTGTCTTCAACGAAATCCAGACAAATCAGTGTGTAAAGAGCTTGAAAAAGGGCCATACTAGATTGATCATCGATGCATTGGTAGAAGAGAGCACAAGTTGCAGCCTGCAATGCAAAACGGCCGGCAAATTCCGACCATTCTATTCCATCTTGCTACTTACCACCTACACGATGCCTTCCGATCGCAAGCAAGTTGTGGTACTCTATGCGGAGGCGAAGTTGCAGAAATCTATAGACTTACCAGGTAGTCTGACTGTCGCCAGAGCCAAGGAGGAGGGGATGGTGGCAATCAGGGATCACTTGAATACGATTCCCGGTGTACCGCCTGTCTCCCTAGACCCCGACTGTACCGATTTTTACCCAGGTACGTCACTATTACCACGTATTCATGATATATACAGTTCTGATCCTACTCGATCAGCTACAAAGGACGATAATAGCATTATACGCGGTCTGAAAGGTAATTTGACGATGGTCGTGTACCCGGAGCCTCCTCAAGGACAGCGCTTGACACCCTCGCCCTTTGTCGATGCTCTTCAGTCTTCCATTCATGAAGTACGCGACGTGAAGGCTCAGCAAAATGCCGCGTTATTGATTAGAGAGGAGAGCGTCAAGTGTAATGTCAAACCAGGTGTTTTTCGTGGCCTTTAAGTTCGTCATCTGTCAGACTAATGTATTCTCAGCTGAAAATGACGTCCTTCTTCGTAGATTAGAGGCAATGGAAGAAAAAATTGGGCGTGACATAGCTGAGCTGAGGCGCGAAAATGCTGAGCTGAAGCACAACGTCAAAGAGCTTGCCGGGCTGAAGTCCAACATCGAAGAGCTGAGGCGGGAAAATGCTGGCCTAAAGCACGACATCAAAGAGCTCAGTGATAAAATGGATGAAAATACTAGAGCTGTTTTGGGCGTTCGTTTTGTGTGTCTTTGTTATCGTTTTTCACGCTCATGTTTGGGCATTACAGGATAAAGTCGCGATCGATGAGATTCATCGGCAGGGTACTCCTTGACATAGGGTCGCCATCAAGTGGTTGTCATATGTGGACACAAGGACTGTCAACCGTAGGAGATGATGCTTCAGGATTCCAATAACCCGTCAGAATATTGGAAGGCTGTTGGGCAGAATCGCTCAACTCTCCCGTTGCTCATTCGTTGTAGCCACGCTAGACCTCACGCAGAAATTGCAGCGCACTCTTCGACAGAGAAGGCTATTGCAGAGTATTCTGGCTCTGACCACTCTGAGGGATAGGACTGATAATTACCATTTTTCGTGCAGTTTACGATAGCTAACCACGATAAGTCTGCGCAACAATTTTTAGATCTGTATCCTAGCGTTTGGAGGACTCGGTACCTCGAGTTATCCAATATAAGAAATGTGTTCCCTAAGTGCACAAATATTCTCCAGGCTTGCAACTATCTTTATTGGGTAAAGGCCCCAGAAACCTAAGAGGGTTTGTCTTACTACCTAACGATTCTGATAAACTACCGGTAGATACTGAAAAAATCGAGAAGCCTTGTGCATGTATGGCGTTACGGGAGGAGCGAATTCCTGTTGCAGGGTTGTTGTCCTGGGTAAGGCGTGATTCCACAAGTTTGACGAGATACCCACTGCGGAAATCAGGAAGTCGCTACTAGGATTCAAGTGGCTGGCGTGGAACAAGGACTAGCACTAACTAAGTCGACAAAAAACGACAGAGTATACGAAAACAAGATAGCTAGAGGGCAATAATATGTATCAGGGTCATTTGGACAACAGGATGAAAGAGAATCGCAGATCAACAACACGTGAATATGTACTAGACGACAGCAATACGACGTAGAATTACATACCAATATGAACAAAAACCATCCTCTGCTCGAGCGGCACTTTCGTTTTCACCGAGTGCGTAGCACAGTTGAGTGCCCAGGCTGCCTTCGTGCAGTCCATGACACCACCATCCTTCAAATCTCTGAACATGTACGTGTAGAAAGCTTCGACGACGTGTTTTGCGACAGAGTCGTCGACCTCCCACAGCGTGCCAACGACGCTCTTGAACCCTGAAAACTGGAGACCAGCTGCGAGGTGAATCACTTCGTCGGGCGTCTCCTCGTCGCCGACGGCAGTATGACAGGCCGATAAGAACGCGAACTCGGCCTGCGGAACATGTCTCTCCATGATATCGAGCAGCGTCAAATGTTCGTCTCTCATGACGAAATGGGAATCGTAGGGCTGCTTAGGATCCTGCTTGCCATGACAAGCAAGGTGCACCCAGGTGTTCTGCTGCAAAGCTGAGAGTGCACCTGCTCGTGTGGCTTCGTCGCCAAAAATAGTGGTGCGGTTGGCCGTCGCAGGGACGAGCTTATGGACGAGCCCGAGCTCGCTGTCGACGGCCAAGAGCGCCTTGCCCTTTCCTGCACCCGGTTGACCCTGTCCGATCGCCACAAAGGACGGAGGCGCGCGCTTCTTCATCAACTGTCTGGATCTGATCAGAGCGGAAAGTGTCGGCGTGTAAGAGCAGATGTAGAGATCTTCCAGGCATGGCTCCTTCCCAGAACGATCCGCCTTTGTTTGAAACAGGTGAGCTGCATGAAGAGGAATGGACGTGAAAGCTGCAGTGGGACACAGCCAGATTCGAGAGCGGCGCTTCAGTTTGAGGACGTGCTCGAGTACGTTGACGATGGGTAGCATGATCTGGTCCCATATTATCCGCGAGAGCACTATGAGATCCGTCCTCGACTCCCCTGGGTTCATCCGAGATGCTTCTCGTATTGCCCTGGCGAAGCGATCCTTGAGATTGGTCAGATCTGCGAGGGTGACAGACGGCAAAGGAACGTGATGGGGGTCTCCTGATGTGGGGACGATGATGGCGCTGCATGAGTATTGGCTTGCAATGAGGATGATGACCGGGCCCTGGCGCGCTGCCGCTTGCAGATCTTCCTACGAAGGTGGGAGTAGGAACCGCGAGAACGCCGGAACATCACGTATCTCAGCTACCGCTGCTTTCCATTGCCTTGTAAGTCTCCTATAATCTGTTGTTGCTTGATCAGCAGCAGCTCTGTCAGAGATGGTCGCAGAACTCTGAGATGCATTGGAAATGAGCTTGCTCAGCTCCAAATAATTGCGCGCCAGTGTCGGTTTTGCTGACTCGAGGTCTTCAACTGGAGTCCTGAGTCGAGAAGCCAGCGACCACTGCTGGCCACGGCCCTGCTCCACAAGTTCAATTGCTCGTGGTAGATTATCAAGACGTATAGCACATGAGGCTGCATCTACAGGCAGTGATCTGGCATAATGAAAGGCAGAGGCAGCTTCGCGCCGTGAAGTCGCCGATGATCGTGTTGCCAAATGAGCATCCAGAAGTTCCAAAAATGTCGAGTAGGCCTCCAGTGCGGATCCATGATCATGTCGCTCTGCTGCAACAGCCCACTGACATGCCTGAATAATGCGGCTTGGAAGGCCATGAGTGGGATGTCGTGATGCGAGTCTGAAGTTGTCCACTGCAAGTGCTAGATCGGTAGGCTTGTACTGCACGTGGTAACGAGACATATAGGCTTCCTGTAGCCTTAAATAACAGTAGTATGTATTTGGGTGCAGTGAATGCAAAGCCTCCAATGATTGTTGGCAAAGAGTAATGGCCTCCTCGACATCTTCATTGTTCTGAGTTTGCGTGAAACGAGAGCAGAGCGCTGCGCTCAGATTGCAAAGTATTGCATGGCGCCCTGGATGGTCAAGCCGACTTAACTGAAGGCATTCACGACACCGATCAATGGCCTCGTTAAAGTCCTCGCTGACTTGCGATTTGACATGTCTGGCTTTGAGCGCGAGGGCAAGGTTGTTGAGCGTGACTTCATGACGTGGATGCCCAGGTGGGCGCAACGTCAGTGCTTCGCAATAGAGGTTGATAGCTCGGGTAATGTTATCAATGTCGTCGCGTTTCTTGAAACGGGCGATGAGAGAGCCCCCTAGGGAGTTTAATGAGTAATCACGATCTTTATGCCCAACAGGGCACAGGCGCAGTGCTTCTTCGTGCAAATAGATGGCCTCATCGAGGTCATTAGGTTTGCCTTGGTGATCAAAGCGAGACACGAGTGAAACGGCCAACTTGTTCTGGCAGGTAACACAATCAGCATGTCCCTCGGGGCACAGAGACACGGCTTCGCGAAGAAGTTGTATGCCCGTGTCAAGATCATCGATGCTGCCGTGCTGATCAAAGCGTGCTCCAACTGCTTGCGCAAGCATGGCGAGGGCTCTGGGACAGAGTTGGTGGCCCAGAGGACAGAGCCCAAGGACGACTCTTCGAAGATGGATGCCTTCATCAGATCCGTCTTTTGGAAGGTTGTTGCATCCACGGATCACACAATCGACACCTGCTGCGATGTTACGAGGGTAGGTGCCTTCTGGACAAAGAGGCAGTAGTTCATGACAGAGTTGGGCGGCTTCCTGGATGTCGGCAGCAGTATCTTTCTTGTAGTGGCGCCAAATCAGCGCTCGGGTGAGATTGTATAGAGATAAGGGATGATCGGGATGGGGCTGCGGACGTAACGCAAGGGCGTCGCGGAAGAGGGAAGTGGTGGCATCGATGTCTTCAACATCATTTCGGATGTAGTCCTTCACAGCGGGCCCGCGCGAGGTTGGTGAGAGCCGTTGCATGGTCTGGATGGCTGACCGGACACTGGTCCAGAACTAACTGAAAATGCTCTACGGCTTTGTTCAGGTGAGAGACTGTCTTGCTCTTCATGTATGCGGCAAATTGTGCGTGGCCCGCATCTGTGTCTCGAGCAATCTCGCAGTCTACGAGAGGCTGTAGTTTACGTTCTGTCAGAAAAAACTAACAGGACAGATACCAGCATCACTCACATCAAACAATGCGTCGTCCTGATCGTCGCAAATATGAACGATGGTAGCCTTCAGCTTGAGGGAAGGGTGGACACCGTGCACGGGTGGGAAGGAAATAACTACTAGACGTTAGTGTATGTGCATGAAAGAGAAGTGAATCACTCACCAAATGGCTCATCTCCAAGATTGAGTAGCCCATCCCACGACATCTGAAGTTCGCCGATGACCTCTCCACCGCCTAGCATTGGACCAAGCTCATATGACACCCTGATCTCCAATGACAACGCAGGCGAGGCATGTGATGATCTATAAACCAAAGATCAGTTCTTCTATAGCGTCAGAAAGTCTCCATGAACTTTACAGAGTCACAGAATTCCCCCACACTACAGATTCGTCAGACAATGAGACACTGGTGGCTGATTTCCAGCGCCTTCGAGAGTCGACATTGATGGATATGTAGATGCCAGCAAGGATGCGCCAGGAGGGAACCAGAAGATTCTTTCCGCTGATGACTGTAGATATTGTGTGAGGATGATAACAGATACGAAGGTGGTTCAGAGGGACTCGCCTTCAAGTCTGATATATCGGCTTTCTGGGCTACCAGTCATGATTGTGCGATGGAGTATAATGACGAGGATTGAGGATAGGCTGAATGGTGCAATGAATCAGTGAGAAGGCAAGACGGGGGTAAGGATACGGAGACTGGACAGAGTCCAGCTCAGAGAGGTTGAGGGTTCAGTTCATTACGTGTATTTCCATATTGTCGAGGGCTGTTCGGCACGATATAGACGCTGGTATGATTTCATTAAGCGCTGGGAATAGAAGTGTGCACCGACCAGCATTAGTGGAAGAATCTAAAGTAGATACTGTCGTGGCCAGTCTCCAGTGGAAGTGGCCAGCCGAAGTCGAAGAGGGGGGATGCGAGTCTCAGAGTGATTGGACTTGCCATCGTACTACTCAGTAAGCACACCAAGGCAAGATGTAGAATCGAATGTGATTCGTATGGTAATGTGAACAATGTTGAAACCACTGAAGATGACACGCTAAGAAGAACCGAACTGGGGCTTCGATGAGAGAGAGGGGATTGTCAGATAGATGGACGTCGACTCATAGTGGAGGCGGCCACTTTACCACGTCGCGTTATCGCGTCATCCTCGAACAAGGTTATTATGTAGTAGCTGCCAGGATGATTGAGCGCCAGTCTATGATCGAGAATATTATGTAATTAGCGAGGAATTTGATTTTCGGTATGTGTCTCATCCTGCATGACGTCAAGCTCCTTCTAAGTACAGAAATCCAAACACTTCAAGCTTATAATTATAATACTCGGTATTTTCTAAACCAATACTCGATGCCACAGCTGGGGCCCGTTCAGTTTGATCTATTTGAACAACCTCACCGGTCTTTACTGCTATCCCAACAGAACAACCTTCTGCTCCCCTGTCGAGTTCGGCCAAGCATGTTCAAATATAACCCCAACCCCAACTCGCTCCATGCGTTTTTCGTCCTGCATCTTCTGCACCGCCATCACATACAACATGCATCCGAGATATCGTTTCCCCAGTGTGTCCTCATCGTACAACCCTTTGGTTTCGTCTGCGCGAGACAGAACAATAAATTCACATGAAGTCGGTGAATTGGTGGAACACGAAAGGATGACGCGCCCTACTAACGTTGATGGTCGAGGAACGTCAGATAGTATGGAATATGTGGCGTAGTTGGCCTTGGGATCAGCACCAACGACATCGTCCGCCCTCGTAACGTTGAAATGAGCCGAACGAGTTCTGAATACTAACGTCCCAGGCTGCAGGGGCCCATTCTCTGTAATCAGAGTCTGTGCGTCGATGTCGCCTTCCGGGATGACGTATGGACTGGAGTTTGCTTCTTCAACAGATCTTGCCATCCGACCAGTACGTCTAACATCCTGGGGAACAAGCCGACCATCATCATCCTACCACGTGCCACTGTTCCACCAGTGACTGGGTTATCCACGGAGAAACGCCCCCATTCTGTGCATCGACGAACAAGCTCACTTCGCTGTACTGGACAGCACCCCGCCACGCAGCCCATGACCAGGATGGCCACAGCGTCATATTTCCATCCCCAGTCGCGCGTCGCACACATGATGTATTGGACGTTGGCTGCCACACTAACGCAAGTTCTAGGTCAACGATGGGCATCCCAAAACGGAATGCTTGACCAGGGTTACCACCAGCGAGCTTGAACCCCTTGGCCATAGCATTGATGAGCGCCGTAACAGCGTTCAAGATGTCTGACTCCATAGTAAGCCTGCGTTGCGTATACTTTCCGATGATGCTCATGTAGTGCCCCATATATGTAGAGCTATTCCACTCCGGTGGAGCACGCACGGACGTGAATCCACCTGCACCGCCGTACTTCAGGGGGTGCGATGCCCAGGGGAGGTTGATACGCTCTGCAATCACATCTTCGCTCCATATATCCTCTCCGCATTCAAAGTGCACGTGATGGGGGGTCAAGAAGATGCGGCGGCGCGAGAGCATGAGTTCCTGATATGTCCAACCACGCGTGTCCCATGCAGAGCTCGCTATGGCCTCACGGGGGAGGATGAGAGGGACGGCGAGGTGAAGACCTTGTATTTTAGTTATTTGTTGTTTGGGATCCCTGGTCCCTGGGCGGATGCCTGGGAGAGGATCATGCGCGGAGGTGCCGCCAGCAGCGAAGATTGTGAATGCGGAGGTGCCGTAGATAAGCTCCATCACACCGATTTGCACTGCTTTGTCCTTAGGGTCATCTTGCACGATACACAACGCGTCAATCCAAAGGTACCGTTCGCCCAGCTGACGGACGAGTTGAATGGTGTCTAAGATCGTGGATGGTAGCACTGATACATCAAGGCCACCTTGTGCTCTGCGCTGCTTGATATTTGCCCGTGTCGTCCAGTACTCTTCTCCTGTACCTCCCCAGAGGTAGCTAAGAGCGACGAAACGGCAGGATGGCGGAGCGCGAACCTACAGCCATTCGAGTTACATCCACGACTCTCATGGTCTTCGGAAGAACATCTCCAGTGCCCCTCCACCATACCGTTTCACATAACTCACCATGCTCGTGTTCACAGATGTGGATCCATCTCTTCAACAGGGCGATATCAACATTCTGACCAACCCTCCTGCCATGAAGTTCTTTCGTCCTCCCAACTTGGAAGCATCTTCTCCAAGGAGCTGGATATCCAGCAAGAGGTTTGACTGCGCGGCGACCATGGCAGCTGTAACATCCCGAGGTCTATCAAAAGTCTGAATATGCAGCCGATGACAGATATCCCTGAGTACAGGAGAGATATAATCCGGAATGTTCGGATACCCGCACTCCATCGCATACAGCGCACAGGTGATATCAGAAATGTCGATATCAGGTAACTTATCCAAGTTCCACGCGCGACGGATGACGATAGCTACGAGGTTGCACAATCCGCATTGGTTGGACTTGTTAAGGATATCTGTGAGGTGACCAATGGGGATTGCGTGTTCTTTTGGGACGCCATCGTGTAGGATTGCATGGAGGTCGAGGGATGAGCATGTTGAGCAGAGGGGTGCGTCGTTTTCTGGTGGGAGTTCTGGGGTATGGTTGCTTGGAATAGGATACGAGATGGAGTCTTTCGTGCGGATCTTTCGTCGGCGCTTGTGAGAGCAGAACATGGGAAGACCGAGACCCAGCAAGGGGACACTGCTTGTGCCTGTGTTGTTATCGGTCGATGATATAAATGACCTTGCCAAGAAAGTCACCCTGAATCCTCGAGGCAGGTACCACTCACCTTGAGTAAACGGAACTTGCACGACGGATGCTGTAGACTCTTGGACCTGTCAATAGACCTGTGAGCTCCGATCCAAACTCGTACATACCTTGGGTTGAGGTATAATATGTAAATGTATTTCTGGGGCAGCGTTTCAGCTAGGACTTCTACAAGCAGTACATAGACCAATATTTGAAGACAGTCATTACTTACATTACCATTGGGATATTCGTAGTTTGCAAAGCCGTCCTAATGCGTGCCGCAGTTGGTGCGGGCTGGTGAACATGATGGTTGTGGCCAAGCGGTGGCTGTGACATATTCAACAGAATCACATTACTCAATCGCGACTTGGACGTAGACTCGTAACCAGCTATCACTTACTTTTCATTCTCTTCGAAAGTCTTTGTGAGTATCACCTGTGCTTCACTAGGAATAAGGAGACCTAAGGAGTTTACGATCTCAGCGCTCAGCACACACGCATTTCACTTGTACTTCTGTGAGTGCGCAAAGGGCCTCATTCATCCAGCGCAACGCCACTCATGAAATGTGCATGTACAGAGCTCAGCGCTCAGTCTTGTCATATTTACTGAGCAGGTCAGTCTACTGCAGCTTTCATACAATCAATGGTCATCAGCCTTAGAATAGCGTCCACGAACCGGTTATCTCGCTTCCTATAACACCAACTTTCACTAACTACATTGTGTCCATCAGGTTTTCTTGCAGCCTCAAAGGCCATAGCTAACTCGCACCCCATGTTATAAACTTGCACGTATGTCCATTCTCGTTGAATGTGAATGCTGAGACAAACCGATTCTTAGAACACTTTCATATAACGAAATGACGATGACCACCCAACCACTGATCCCCCTACCCTCTCATGATCATACACGGCAGCCCCACCAGAGGCCAATTGCACAACCCCAACCAATTTCTCCACGCATCAACCCACTCAATGCAGATGAGATCGACCGTTTCGCAACTTTGTTCTCCCCCGCAACGCCCCCAGCAACTCCAACACCTATCTTTCGTGATCAGCCCCCAACAAGTCGCCCACAGCAGCACAGAAACCGCACGGCCAGCGTAGACTCCGAATTCGGCGCCTTTGTATCGGTCCCTGCTGCTCAGGACCCGCTTTCATTTGACTTTCCGGTGCTGGAGCCTGTCGCCCTGAAGTCTCAGAGACCTGTCATCGCTGGGAACGCAAGCTTGCATTATTTTGATCAGTTCACCTCCAGCGCAAAAACAGCTTCCGAGCAGAACAGACGCGTTGTTCTCGATGAGCTGCTGGAGCATGAAGATGATCCTTTGTATTTTCTTCGGGAGCACATTCAACCTCCATTATCTCCCCTATTCGAAACTCAACCAACGTTGGCTCAAAATGGTATCGTTATGCAATCACCGTCTCCGATACCACAAACTGTGACCTTGATTGACGCAGATGTCAAGCCTCCTTCTCCTCCCCCACACAAGTTGCCTGTGCTCACTACGAGCGTAAGCTCTCAGCCTCCTGTGAATATACGCGAACCTCTTCCTCCCCGTCTCAGCGGAGCGGCCTCACCTCCATCAGCAAACATTCCTTCCGCATCAACCTCGTCGTTTCCCTCTTCCCCAGCCACGCCTCCAGCACATGCTACGTTATCCCGCCTTTCCACCACCTGGGTCTCGGCGTTCCTGCCATCTGCTCGATCTAGACAATCCACAGGATCTTCTACATCAATTTTGGTACATCCAGCATCTAGTAACCTACCTCAGCCAACGCACATGCATGTGGCGCATCAGACGTCTGGCATCACGCGTGGCACCCCTTTTGCCACCCACCCTTACATTCCACCTTCCGGTGCCCCTGGTTTTGCAGGCGATCGGGTCTGGGATAAAGGCTTCTCAGATGTGCTCCACGATGAGGAAATGAGTGAAGTAAAGGGCGTGCTAGGGAAAGGAAAGAAGATCCATGCTCTCAATCTTGCTGGAAGGAGAGAGGGCACCTCAGTAGTGCTGAACGAACCCATCGCAAATCTCGTCCGTAATCCTTGTCTAGTGCATAGCCAGTACTCACTCATACACTCTTCCAGATTCGTCCCCACCTTCCAGCACTCACTCGTCTTCCACGGACATGGACTCTATTGTACTCGCTAGACCAACACGGTATCTCGTTGAATACGCTGTATTCCAGATGTGAACCCAAGTTACCCTCGACGCCAGGTGCAACGAAAGGAGCCCTAGTTGTGATCAAAGATGCAAGAGATGCGATTTTCGGCGTGTGGATGGGGGATGGGTTGTGGTTGGAAAGAGGAGGGTACTATGGGAGTGGCGAGTCGTGAGTTCCCTCGCCTTGTCCTCTGGGTTGTCGGAGCTCATTTTTACCGGTCAGCTTCCTTTGGAGATACCAACGTCCTACAAACAAAGAGGGCGGGCTAGAAGAGGGGACACTTGATGTGTACAAATGGACGGGGAGGAATGATTACGTTGCGCTCTGTGAGCCCGGGTTCATATCTTTTGGTGGCGGGTGAGTATCCTTTCCCTGTGACCTTGTTCAATTTCCACATCCCAATGGCCAACTTGTTTTGATGCGCAGAGACGGACACTACGGTCTTTACCTTGATGCCTCCCTCCTTGACGGATCTTCCGCACCATGCCCTACGTTTGACAACCCTGTTCTGTGTTCTCGTGTGGATGTTGGGAGCGTCGGCGTTAAGAAGGATGTGAGCTTTGAGTGTGTAGGACTGGAGGTGTGGGGCGTAGGACCTTGATTGCTGTCGTTTTGTGAGTAGGATGACGTGCTTGATTCCCTTATTTCATCTGCTTCCGAAGGCAAATGTCTTCATTTTCTATTGGCTGATCTATTTCTGTCGCCGATAGAGGACGAGGCATGCACACTAAGTACAGTACAATGAAATGAGTGTGTGGTGACCTGTTACCGCTCCCGAGGAGCCACCGTTCGGTCATCAAGCCGTATAGCTTACTGCAAACATCTCGTCGATTCCCGAGATCTGCCTGTAAACCAGCTGCAACCAAAAGTCTCTCTTCTCATGTTTTAGATCCGCTCCTAGATATTTGTGGTAATCTCTGGAGATGTGTAAGTGATTGGCCCAGATAATACTTGCAACCATGATAGCACGTACCAGTCATCCGCCAACCGCCCCTCGAAATCAGCTTTGAGAATGGTGAGTTCAGTGTTAATCTGACCGAGAAATATTTTAACATTGCCGCAGGCTGCAGTGACATATGGGCCATCTGTGGCAGTAGCACGAGGCAATGACAGGCGTTGAACGTTGAGCAAGGACGTACAACAGGTATCTGCCGTATTTTTCGGTACGGCAAACAGTTCACTCGGCGTATGTCGGATGTTGTTGAAATTCTTGCATTCTGATAAATTGCCAGCAAGACGGCAGCATTATCATGACAATAATGGACTCAGAGGCGTTCAACCTTGGGACGGGCTTGCTCTCCGTCTGCAAACCCTAACCGAGCCAAAAGCAGCCAGGCTTTTCGAGCAAATATCACATTCCCCATGGCACTGCAATATATATGTTTGATGGTTAGTCCAATCATCAGTTGCGGGATTAGGCACGAACACTTAGTGATCTTGAACAGCTCCAGCAACCCTGCGTGACGTAGGCGACTTTCAGACTCCTAGCTAGCTCTAACTGCATTGAAAATATCTTCATCAAACGGAATGGTTGGTTGTTGAGTATACTATGGTTCTACGAGACAGAATCCAATCGGGCCGTGTGGGCGGGACACTGTTATTTGTCGAGGCTTCCTATCACTCATGACGACGGCCCGATATTCTACGTGCACCTCCAAAACTCGTCAGCCCAGTTTTTTCGTACCAACAGATTAATCGATATGAAATCGGCTTGCGTGTCACAATATATAAGGCACACCGAACCGTTGAGGCCATCCCCCAGACCCCACCATCATCACCCCATTTATGGCACCTGATCCTTCTGACACTGCACCGATCTCGCCCCCGAAGGAGCATGTTGAGTGCAAAGAACTCGATGTCGACGTAGAATTTGGTGGTATAGAGGCACGAAACAAGCTAGAGCGCAAGTTGTTATTGAAACTCGACCTACACATGTCAATGCTAGTCCTCATCTATATCCTCAATTTTGTGAGTAACCTCGCATCAAGGCGCCTGATCTATATCTCATTCTTGTATTAGATCGATCGAAACAACGCTAGGTATGCCCTTGTCATGAATCGCTGATGCATCATTCACAACGGATTAAGTGCGGCACGCACACGAGGGCTCACCGCCGACCTCCATCTCGAGGGTCCACAATTTGCGACATTATTGTCTATCTTCTATGTCGGATATATTATGATGCAGGTCCCCTCCAATATGTTTCTCAATTACATCAAAAAGCCCTCGCTTTATCTGCCTGCTTGTATGGTAATTTGGGGGGTCATATCGGCGCTGACTGGAATTACTACAAAGTATGACCGATCATTGATGTCTGGCAGATAACCGACCATACTCCTCGTAATAGTTTCGTTGGAGCGCTCCTAACGCGATTCTTTCTTGGCTTCATGGAAGCAGCTTTTTTCCCCGGCGCTGTGTTCTTGATTTCGAAGTGGTTCGTTAATCATGGAGTATATTTTCAGCCGAAGTCCTGAAATTCAATGTACAGGTACAAGAGAACAGAGATAGGTCTCAGATTAGCCATCCTCTATTGGTAAGGGTACTACTATGCTCGTGGATATATCTATTCATTGACAGCACCATTACAGCGGAAACATGATCAGTAACGCTTTCGGAGCTGTCATTGCATCAGGTATTCTTGCTAACATGGACGGCATCCGTGCACAAGCCGCGTGGAGGTAATTCAATCCAGTTGATTTGTCAAAGCACTCTGTTGAATTTCATTTATGAGGTGGCTTTTCTATATCGAAGGAAGTCTGACTGTCACCGTTGCGATAATGACTGTCTTTGTTTTGCCGGACTTTCCAACGACAACAAAGTGGCTTACTGATGACGAGCGCCGGCTTGCACTGAAGCGTATGGAGGAGGATGCTGGTGTCGGAGACCAGTTAGAAACTGAGAACGATGGCTTCGGTTACGGCTTTTACCTCGCCATCGCCGACTGGAAGGTGTGGTGGATCGCAATACTATCGATTGCTCAGGTTGTAGCGTTTTCCTTCATTGTCTATTTCCCCACTCTTACTGCAACACTTGGCTACAACCCAACGGCATCGCTGCTCCTCGTTGCGCCTCCTTGGATATATGCTGCCATTTTCACATTCGTGTGGACCAGGTAAGCTGGGATATCGAACAATCTAGGAACTGGTCTGAAGAGCTCCTCAGACACTCTGATAAAACACAAGAAAGGTTCTTGCACATGAGCATTTCGAACCTCATTGGCATAATTGGGTCCCTTATTTCGATATGTACCATGAACACTACAGCCCGATACTTGTCTCTGTAGGCACATGATCTAATTTTAGACGTGTCACTGATAGTGGCCCCCCTCAACAGCTTCCTCATGGCGCAGTCCAATTCAGCACATGTCTTGATCACCACGTGGGAGAGTAACATATTTGCGCGACCGCCGTCAAAGCGCGCAGTATGTTTTTCGCTTATCAATGCACTTCAGCAACTAGGCAACATCGCAGGGTCGTAAGTAGTTCAATCGACCATTAAAAATTCATCGACGAAATATGTTGCAGTTACGTCTGGCCAGCTAATTGGGGCCCTACCTATCGATACTCTTATACCATTGTAATCGCCGGTTACGTTGCCGCGATTGTGATGACTTGGATTCTCAGACAGCATCTGAAGACATTGAACAAGAAGCTGGAGAAAGAAGAGCAGGAGCAAGGGATCAAAGAAAAAGGATTCCGCTACGTTCTCTGAACGATGGCTTGGTGATCTACGGGTTTGAATTTTACAAACAATGACCACGTATTAGCAGGTAATGTTTACCTTTATTAGTGCCATAGATATCTTGAATTCAACGTGAATTTCTCCGCCAGCATCGCCTCAATTCATTTATTATGAGTCCAGATATACCACAGTCTGTCAATCAAGACAGACTACTAAGGAGAGGGTGTAATGGACACGTAGAAATGAACAAATTTCGGAATGACTACCTAGTCCTATTTGGTCAGGTGGGCAGCATTTTTCATATTATCCTCCAGCCAATGACCCTCTTTGTATTGTCAACCAATCAATGCAGGGTTTTTTTTTTGGAGGGGGGTTCGCATTGGACGCTGTTACATTACCTGAGACTGTTTTCTGGCACGATTAGCATGTATGGGCTCTCCCACTAACACTCTATAGTCGGCCATCTCGTATCATTCCGTGCAAAACATATAAATGTGATCAATGACTGCCTGATCAACCACTGACTGGCGTAAATTAGATCCCATGCATAAACGACATTCAAGCATACATTATTGATCGCCTGGTGAGTGAAAGACATTGTCAGTCCCAAAAATTTAAAGGAAGACGTGATGAGTCTCTGAACAATGAGACAATATAGTCCTGACTACACTGCGGTGCCCGTCATGGCTCGGCCGGGCTCGGCCGAGTCTGGACCACCCAAGCCTAAGTTTACGTCACTTGAAGTACCGTTCGTAGACAAATATGGTCTCACCTCACATTATGCCATGGTGGAGTTCGGTAGTTAGCAGGTGTGATCAGGCGGGCTGGTGCTCAACTTGGCGATCAAACAACAGTGCTATCGCAAACTGCCGCATGCTTGAATAGAACCAAACTAATGCCGTTGGGTGTCAGCCCAACCACTGTCAGTTGACATCATGATGCTTACCGGGTCAGACGAAAGCACTCGATCGGGATGGTCTCAAGGAGTCGATTTCCAGAGGTAGATCTTGCAAGCACGATCAAATTGCATCAACGCCCAACGAGCGAACGAGCGGTACAACGCTATCGCTGATAATTGACAGTCATTTATGCACCCTGAAGATGCGCTGTATCAATTGTGACTAAGCCAGAGTTGAAAAATGATTCATAGTGCCAGTGGGACGTGGAAGGATATATAGTACTATAGCGTATACATAGCTAGCGCTACTGCTGTGGAAAATTAATCATAGTACTGAGAGAAGACGATCACCGAAAAAGGCAAGTTTGTTTAAAATCAAGGGACGATGCTAGTCGATAATTTTATTGAAGGTTGGTCGGTTCGTCGCTTGCCACTGTGACTAGCGACAACGAACGGGTTGCCGTCGTTGTTAAACTGACCCATCCCGAAGCTGGTCTTCGCAGCGTGCATGCCACAGACGTGCATTCGTCACGACTAGTGTAACGTTCATCCCGGAAGAGTCAGTAACGGTTCAACGTTCTTCATCTTTGTCGACACTATGGCAGACCTGTCACCTGGCTTGGGCATGATAAGCACACGCACATCGCGGTCCTCGATGTCTAGCAATATCAATGCCTTCCCACTCATGCGTCGCACATCTGAGAGTAGTACACCGTCAACGCCATCCACACCGTCAAGCATTCCATCCTTTCGCGCTATCCGCAATCTCCTCCCCTTTGGAAATAGCAAACCAGTCTTGCCAGCTCAGCCCACAACACAAACAAAGCACCCATTCCACTTTGCTTCTCTCCGTCGCTCCAGTGATCGCAAACCTTCCCTTTCTTCTGTCCGCGACCATCAACGTGATCCGGATAATCCCCCTGTCATATCTATATCACGTCTTGATGCTGAAGAATTTAATGCGCACAAAAGGAGCTATGATCTTGTCCGCGCTGCTTCAGCCTCCGACAGTCTCCTTCCTTCACTCTGTGCGACTTCCCAGTCCCCTGATGACGAGATGTATGGTCCGTAATTTCGCTATTCTCTTTCAAGGGCTATTATGAAATATTCATTACTAGCCATACATCCATGCCCCGCTGACCTTAGCACCATCCTCGAAGCTGACAACTCGGGTATCTCGAAATACATCCCCTCCACAAGCCCTTCCCCATCTCCCTCCCCTACTTCGCCACACACTTTCTTTCCATCCAAGGTCACATTCTTCCCCCCACCATCTCAAAGCACCATTCTCATTTCCAAAGACCGTTCTGCCTCTCAAACTTCTTGTGATCCCTCTCCCACCGCATCCAATCTCGATCTATCCCTCTCAAAATTATCCGCCGAACTCCAGGACGCTCTATCCCCCACTACTGCCGACGGTTGGTCTAGCGCTGTTGTGGTCGAAGATGCAGATGTGGCTCAACAACCATCCTCGACACGGGGAAAAAAACATGGGTTTGACAGTATGGATACGATTTCGTGTCTCCCTCAGTTTTCAGATCCAGATGCAACCTTTGACTTCAGTGCGCTCGATCCCGACCTTGCTGAGTTACTCAGCCCTCATCGCTCGCCCAGCAAGGACATAGGAGAATCAGCCACCGATAAAGTGGTATCTAACGAGTCCATTATTGCGCCATTCCCAGTTGCAGCTTCAACAATTCCTCAAACACCTGGTCCTCGACTGCACTCCGCGCCTTTAGCTGAACGATATACTACACCAGGGTGCTCTTCTGTCGAACCGCTATCACGAGACCCAACGACACCTCTATCCCCGAGCATACGGACATCAGCAGTCCCTCAGCCAGATACACAATCCCTAGTGTCGCTGGGATCCAGACCCTCACGAGAAGTTGCACGCTCTCCAGGACCTACGCAGCTCCCTATTCCCCGTCCCTCTCTAAACATGCGTCGGCCACCGTCGCATTTGCCAAGGCTCATGCGGAGCTTCACTTCTACTTCACCTTCGATCGCTGGGAGCACACCAGGCACATCTTTAGAAACAGCTACAGGAACACAGAGGCGTCAGCCCCCGTCTCCTTTATCGGCTGGGCAGGTCACAGCGGACACAGTGATGCGATCGTCATCGGATACTACAGGGTTGAGGGTATCTTCGGACACATGCGTACCTCGTCCATCAGTAGACATCAACGTCAACTTCACGCCTCGCTCCTCTTCCGATATCGGGACAAGGGATACTCGCACTGGATCGGTTGAGGTGGGGTTTTCATGTTCGCGTCAATTCACATACTTACTGGACCCAAAGTCGCAGAGACACATATCCTCGTGCCCAAATGTTAACGTTGTGCCCACTGGAAGAGTGCCGCCTCCGGTACCCTATATCACTACAACCCTTGTACCCACTTCTACTACGCCCTCCAGTCTTAGTGCGTCTCCCTCAACCACGTTTACCTCCTCACCCTCCGCTACCACTACTAGCACAAACCCAAGGACTCCCACATCTAGCCCTCCCACAAATACAAGCACCCCCCATGACCCAGCCCATCTCCGTCGCCGTCATCATCCCCACCTCTTTATCAGCCGGAAGAGAAGCTTAAGTGTTGACGAGCCTTCATCCTTATCTGCTCAAGTTGAGAAACAGGGATCAAGCGTGAGCAATCGTCTCAATGGCGCAGGGAGGTTTGGGCTTGGTGTAAGGAACGGAGTTGGAGAGAGAGCAGGCAGAGTCAAGCTTACTTCTGGAGAAAATAGACTTGTGTCTTCTCCCCTCACCCGCAGCACGCATACACCAGGACCTCCAACCATGGAATGGCTTGGTCCGAGGACTGTCAAAGCATTTGCTGCCGCTGGGTTGTTCGACGGCGAACGAGAAGAGACTGGTGCAAGATTCGAACGAGAGAGGGCTGGATCCGTCAGTGTCAACCGATTTGAGCAGGATCGAGAAGGCGCAAGTTCAGTGCTGAGTCGGTTTGACCGTGACCGTGAAGGCGCTACTTCGGTGATGAGCCGGTTGGATCGTGATCGTGAAGGCGCTACTTCGGTGATGAGCCGGTTGGATCGTGATCGTGAAGGGTCTCTTGGTCGTTATGATAGAGATCGTGACTATTCGACTATCAACCGTTATGCTTCCTTGCGGGACCATGCCCCTTCCCGTGCGGCATTTTCGGAGGCTGCGAGCACGTCTTCGTTGGGCACGAGGAGCGCGTGTACGGCAGGGAATGCTGGTGCTGGATGGAGCCCGAGCCCGACGTTCTCGAGTGCCGCGAGGACTACGTTCTCAGGGAGCACAGCCCCTACGAGTGTAAGCAGTGGTGTGGGATCAGGGATTAGCGCTGGGGCTGGGGCCGCAGCTGGCGTTGGGAATGCAATGGGAGCCAACGTCCGGACGCTCCAAGAAAAGCATTGTCTGGAGACCTCCGCACTCCTGAATGCCCTTGCGGATTCCCAGGAGGCGTGCAGGAGACTGAGGGAGGAGAATGAGATACTAAGAGAACGATTGAGGGTGTTAGAAGCTATGGCGAATCAGGATAGAGATGATGTGGGCTTGGGCAGGGGCGTAGGATTTGGCGTACTTAACCGGGACGAAGAGGATGGGTCCGATAAAACACATCGCTGCTATCAAGACTTCGAGCGCTTGCCTCACAAACATCTTGCTTCTCTCCGCATCTCCCCTGCCCATCAATCACAAGCGCTCACACCTGTCCCCCATAGACCTCTTATCCAACGATCACACTCGCATCTCCCGCAGCATAGCAGACACCATACTGTATCCACCAAGGCGTCTTTCGATTTCACATTCGGACGGACCCCCTCCCCGTCGCGGTCCACGCAATTAAGACCTCCTTCTCCGCAGCAGAAACAGTCCCAACCTACACCTTCATTGTCCATACAGCCTCCTCTCTCCCCACAGAAGAGTCAACTACAGAGACAAAGACGCGCAAGCACATCCTCGAGCTTGTTTCCTGCTCCACCGCCTGAAATGTCGATGTTGATGTTGGAGGATGTGGGGTTATCCAATGTGATGAGCGAGTCACCACCTTCTCCTGGCGGTTCCTCCCCTGTTGTTAAAAAATTGGGGCATAGACATTCGCATTCCATGATTCCTCATTCACATCCCTTCTATGCCCCTCAGTCCTCTTACTCAAGTCAATCTGTATCGTTCACCTCCTTCGCATCGACGGGCACAGTAGCCGCGAGCCCAAGCACTGCGACTTTCTCGATGACAGAAGGTCCCGGGTCTCCGAATAGTCTACAATTACGCCCCGAACACGAGTTACACCTTGGGGATATGACAAGTTTGAGTCTATATGCTATGAGCGATGGGGAGGGGGATGATGGGGATGAGGAGGTATAAATTATGCTTTTTGCCAGCAATGGTTCTTCGAGGTATGGTTGCCTCCTGATAATTATGTTTCACATGCGCTATGCTCTAGGATCTTCGTCGTTCGTTCGTTTCTAATCCGTGTTTCATTCTGTCTTGGCGCTTTTCTTGCTTTCATCTTCTACTTTTTGTTCGTCTTTCTGCATTTGCTTCTGCTCTCGTGTACTGCGGATTTGATCCCACATATTCGCTATTCATTGTAGAATATACCCAGGTTACAATAATTGTATATAGATACCCTCCATCACTTGGTAATGAGATGCCGTTGAACTCTGACTCATTCATAATGACGGATAAAACTTACTGCGTACAATGAATTATATGTCAGCTGCTGCCGCGTCCGGTATGCTAGTGAATGTCCGACATCAGCGACAGGAAACCAAGCACACGACCGCAAACACCCACGTGCTACCTCCTGAGCGGCGGCGAATCCTTCTGAACGGTGAATATAACGTTCCGGACGCGGGTTTCTCGGCTCTTGAGAAAAATACTCTGGAACGCACATACGACCTCTAGCCAGGTGGAACTAGCACAGAACTGTGCAGCCTAACTCAAGCGCCCTCGCCGTCCGCCGCAGTTTCGTTGATTAGGGATGATTAATTGAATTTTAGGGCGGATGACTTACTATGTTCAAATTAGCGTGGGTGTTTCTGGAGTGGGTGGGTAGGCCCAGCACCGCATCAGTAATGTTAGTACCACTGCCCATCTCGGTCAGATATTTTCCTACGGGTTGGCAGTTTGCCAATAAAGAGGATAGCTTGGCTGTAGCGCTAGTGTGAATGATATCAACCATGTAACGAGGGAATCACCTACTTGGATATCACAGTGGTGATTAAGTACACGTTTAGGAGAGACCGCTGCTCTTTCGGTCTCTGAGCAACTGTTTGAGAGCTGTGATGCCAAATTGTTATATGCACCAGTCCCAAAAAGATGGCAATAGCATGGGCATCATTCGCAAGAATGCCGATATGGGACACCATTCCCAACTGGAAAAAATTTGGATTAAAAAAAAGGAATGCCGATATGGATTTTTGACACCATCAAGTTGGTTGTTACTGCGGAAGGGTGCCCGGAAAACAAACACACCGTGGAACCTGTGGCGGTCGGAGGAAGAATGGCTGATATCAATGTCCCAAACCAAGTTGATGTCGAACGTTCCAGTCAGAATGGTGAGGCTCGTGTGAGTATTAAATCTCCATGCATGGTGGTCCTTCATGTGGCTGCCTTAGTCGTGCCTGGGCTTATCGATACATCAGCGACAGCCTCTCCGTTTCAGTGATACAGCGACAGATATATGACAGGAGCATGTGCACTCATTGCGTTATATCGCGACACCCATCGGAAACTCAGTTTTATAGCCACGCACCCGTTTTGATCAACCACGCGGAAAGTATGTAAGTAGTTTCTGGGATATGGATGCGCGATCGTCTGGTGTTTGTTTCAGAGAAGCCGCCATCGCCGTCGATGTGTCAATTCATAAATCAAGTCGATTCGCCGACGGCCGTACGACGCGTTGAAGCTTTGTCGTTTGACAATATTAATATTTATAGGTCGTATGAGTAAAGTATCAATGTGCTGCGAAACGCGAATTCTTCCGCAGTCGTGCACCAATTCGGTAAAATATGAAACTGATGGTCAGAAATGAGGGTCAATGTTGCATACCATTTACTGTCGTTTGACTCACGGTAATGGCGCCATGATCGTTGCGAGGCCGGCTAGAAGAGCGGTGGCGCCAACAGTCCCCAGTCTATCATACATGGCGCCCGCGAATAGCGGAAATGCAGCGGCAAATGCTGACCGCAATGCACTATTGCTTGCCATAGCGGAGGCAGCAATTGGGCGGTATGCAGTTACAAGATACGTGAACGTTGATGTGAAGACAAAATATATCCCGGAGCCGAAAGGTACGGACGCGATGATTGGGGCAATCCAGTGGACTTGCGGGTATGTAGTGAACGCGAGCCAGAACAAACCTGCAGATATGGTGAGCATCGCTCGATTAGGAGCCACTGGTTACTGACCCACTGGCACGAGTATCGCTCCAACCTGACCCATAATGAGCCTCATCTCAGGAGGTGGATCACCGTTGTATTTGGCAGTTTCACGGACATATAGCCTAGAAACGAGTATTGTAAATATTGATATTGATGCTGAACATCAGAGAAAAAGGAACCCCCCTGTTCCAGAGCGGTTGTGTGGAAATGGCCAAAATCATCCCGAGTCCAATCCCAGCAAACGCCAATCCAGTGGTTTGCATATCAAATCCATGATTATCTTCGAAAATAATGGGATATGCTTGGAATGCCAGGTATAGGATGCCAAGAACAAGGGCATTCCTAGAATGGTCAGGACTTACACCGCGTGTCAATGAGTTGCCCTTACCAGGAGTCTAAAAGCAGTGCCATTCGGTCGAATAGAAGTAATTCTAGTAAAGGTGCCACATCATTACTTGTGATGAAATGAAGATAACCCCTGATGACTTACGAAACGGTTTGTAGCAACTGATGAGGACAGCAGAAACGAGGGTATTTTCCCGTCTGTCCAAAGGAGCATAAAACTTTGGGTCTCCAGTCGACTCCCGCAGTCTGTCAAGCAGGATAATGTATCGCGCAAAAATGAGAAAAAAGAGGACATCCACTCCCACCTTTTTGCCTTCTTCTTCAGGATCACTGGGGCGTACGTCTCAGGAATAAACTAAATTCAATTCATAAATCAATCCATCTAATAAAAGAAATGCAACACGCACTATAACCAATATCAGCAACTCTGCAAAAATCCAACACAACTGCACTCGATACGTCCATTCCCAGTATAGGTACTATCACAAAAATGTCAAATGAGGATCAAGCATCAGACCAATTGAGTCCGACCTGATTGATGAATCTACACCATCACGTCATATCAGAAACAGTGCTGCCGAGAAGCATGATGAACGTACCCAGAAATCAAGGGACCAACCACTGGTCCAATAAATGGAGATCTTCACGATGATCAGTCCATAATATAATTTAGTTGCTATCGTTGTTCAATTAAACCTACATGGTATACACAGCCATTGGACTTGCCACATAATTCAGCAGAACGTCGATCAAAACGCAAATCCAAGGGCTTACTTTGCAATGCTCGAATTCGGAAACATATCGCTTACACTACCTCCAGCTACACTCAGAAAGGTTGATCCACAGAATCCAGTGATAAAGCGAAAGATCAAGAAAACGGCTGTTGTTCTGTTGTGGGTTCATAATCCATTCCAGTAATAAATGTACTCACCGATGTTGGGAGCGAACACCACGGGGAACGTGAGGATGAAGAATAACGCATAAGAGACCCGGTATACAACATTTCGGCCTGCTCAATTCCGTGAGAGTATGTCTTTAGATACAAAAAAATATTGGATGTACCATACACTTCGGACAACGGGCCAACGAGAAGCGGTCCCATTCCGAGACCTGACACGTATAGGCTAATTCCGAGAATGGTCACTTCATGTGAGACATGGAATGTTTGAGCGGAACCTTGTTCTGTGAACGCAGCCTGGAGCGCAATTAGTCTTGACCAGAATGAGATATAAAATGACTCGCAATCGATGAATCACACGTCACGCAAAGAGAGGCAGAACTGATGATCAGGACCGCGAGCCACCGTCTGAACAAAGATATGTTCTGCGGATTATCCTCTGGCTCGAGGACGACAAGGTGTGGGTCACCTTCGGCATTTTGTAAGGCAGACACATCTGTCTTTGTGGTAGCAGCATCGTCGGGATGACTAAATGAGCCTGATATCCTTGTCAACGTCGACATGGTACGACAAGGTCGGACCTCTTGGGCTATAGAGAAAAGTGAGGGTCAATATTGTAAGCAGGTGCGAAGCAAATGATTGATATAGTTAGCACTAGATGCCATTAATATTGGTGGAGTATGGTTGTAGCGGCGGCCGCCTCATAAGGTCGGCGTGAACGTTTGAAGTGCCATGAACCGATTTTTACAAGATTGGACGAAGTTGCCAGTAGTAAAAGCATATACGTCTGCGACTGGAAATTGCAGGTAGTCTCAGAAACTGAATGTGATGAAAACGTTCATTCAGTATTCCCAGAAGGTCTGGTGTCGAGAGTCGAGATCATGATCACACGCTCGCACTATGTTAGAGCGCATTCCTAATTAAGAACGGATCATCGGAGTCACATCGGAACGTTCTTCCGTTTACTACATAGTCATGCGATGAAACGTTAGCAAGAAGGCTAATGGTACGGCAACTCACCATTAAGGGCTAGCTGTGCCCTACTAGTACTAGGAAGTTGATTCATAATACAATCGCTCTCATAAACAATCATGATGGGAAACCGATCCAAAAACTGTACCTAGCCTAGAGATTGTTCGTTATTGCAGATCTGTAAGCCAGTAGCAAGATGTTGTGAGCAGAACTTGGCAGAATTAACGATGGCACTAGTACTAGCCAAGTGTGCTACGACCACGAGACCAAGTCCTGCATTGCCGAGCGGGGTTCGAAAGGACCGACCGTTGCTGTGGACCTGGTCCCAGCTCCGCTCGGCGCTGCAGCCACAATTTCATCGTACGGCTCCTCACCGCCGCTTATTGGTTTGATACTAAGTTGCTCATTCTGACTACCATGAATGTATTTTTTCACCACCCTGTTGGACTGCAAACCTCACCCAAAGGACCGTCAATGTTTTCCACTACTCCACTACGATTTAACATATATATATATAACGTAAAACCAAAGTATGTATACAAAGGATGAGATTGTTGGGGGTGATCCATGACAATGTGATATCACCCTAAGCCAATAAATCTGTTGGTTGAACGACGATAACTCACAAGACCTTGCAGTGGCAAGTCCCCAACTCTGGCCTTGCTCGCATTTGAGTCATGAATCAATCAGGCGCTGCATATCTTTGCAACAGTGGTAAATCTGGCATGAGTAACTGAATAACACGATTTTTGAATCGCCTGCCAGTGGGTTCTTCAACACAAATGCTTTTATCAGGAAAATACACCACATGAGTAAAGCTCGAGCAAATTCTGGGAGGTTATAGGATGCCTGATAGATTTTGCAGTAAACAGGTTGATACCAAAAGGAGAAAAAGTCATAAGCGTATCAAACAGCAATCCCATTGGCGAGGATCGGCAGGCGGCAGAATGAAGATTTATAAAGCTAGTAGTACGTAACTGACAAGAATGGCTAGAGCAGAGTTCACTCATTGTCTGTCACTTAGAACGTAGAACTTGGAACCGCAGGACTTCCATAGTCTGAGGGTACATGGCATATCAGCGTAGCTCGCCCGGGCCGTCACCTCGGCACACGTCGTTTTTCGTCCTGAATGGCAAGGACGCAAGCCTCCAGCACGAACTAGATGATGACAATCAAATCAGCCACAATCAAAGAAGCCTCCGACTCTGCTCACCAGGGCCAGCACGAAAAACCCAAATAAACCGCACAAAAATAAGGCACAGTTGTATGTGATACCCGACCATATAACACTACTTAATAATCACTTTTGTGGGGTAAAGAGACCGACCTGGTCGATGCGATCTGGAAAATGGAAAATAGAAACACGTGCGGTCACTTGGTCAACATATAAGCCGGCAATCAACGGCCCACTCATGGATCTGGTGAATGGCGGCCTTGGACGTTCGTTCCTGACTGTAGAAATGATACCGAACATCTCACATGGTGCAAACCGCCATGGGGCTGCATGTAACAGAAGAGCTCACATCGATAACCAGAAACTCAATTGCCCCCGGTCGAGGTGGAGGACAGGTGGCTAACAGGCATCCTTCAAGAGCCGACTCGCAGAAGCCAGTTAATAAGCTGGAGCCAAAACCTCAAAAATAAAGCGCATGGGAGGTCTACTCCTCACATCTTCAGTATCAATTCAAAAAAAAGATTGTCACTCACCATATGCTACTAGATCTTCAATAGCCATGAACTGAATGATTACAAGATTAGCGTTTGGGAAGAACTCTGCACACGGCCCTCATGGATATCGTGATGACAATGCGCGTGACTGAACATACAACAGCATCCGCAGGTGACACAAAGTGAAGTAGAGCTTAAAATCGCAATGTCAAGTATCCAGTAGATTCGTCTTCAGGGTCTACAAGGACCTTGTAAGTTATGAAGGATAGCAGTCATGCTATGTGCTCTCGTAGCCAAAGGCGAGGATAGAGCGGACACGAGCGTTTTGCGCTAGGTCAGCTGTACTTAACCGCATTCTGACAGATGCTATATCGAGAGCAAAGATGCCGGTCATGCTGAAACCCTGCATTGACGCCAGGATGTCATTCTGAGCAGTTTACGTTAACTTAGCAAGGACTCGCCCATGGGCGCTGAGCACCGTAGACGATGTGATTGGTAGACTCGACTAAGGACCTCAAAATAACCCAATGATTGGTTAGGTCATTCCAAATCGAGTCAATAATGTGTCTTACTGCACTGTTAACTGAAACCGTCTTGGATTGTATAGCTCTTCTTGATGTCAAGACAGGCTTTTAACCTCTGATTAGAAGCACATAAATGTAACGCTTGTCTCAGTTGAGGGTGGGAAAGAACAAGTTAGCTCGTGTTCACGGATAATTGCAGAAAGCCGTTAATGTGGCCACGCGTAAGCGTCACATAAAGCAGTCCACGGACAAGAATGATGGCATGTTGAATTGTGACGCGAAATGTTAAATAAATTGACCGGTCTGTAACCAAAACGAGTGGCCGGTAAAAGTGACATGGCGCCAATATTAGAGGCATAGCATCCTGAAGCTTAAGCACTTAAGCTAACTGATGTCGATGAGGCCTTGAGGTCGCAATTTGTAGGCGATCGAATCGTCGAACTTGTGTTGTGTGATGATGGTTAGAGGCATAGAATTAAATCGCCGATCAAAAAAATTGCCTGACGCCGAGAACTCAGAAATTGTGTCCAAATCAGTCTTAGAGCGTTTCGCCTCTCGCTTGAAAATTTTCTTAGCTACAGGCGGATCATGATTCTATTTCATCCTTGCGGCCAGCGGATGCGGCGGTGGCCTGGACTCAGGCGCTATTTGGCGGGCTTTTTCTAGAAGCGCGATCTGAGCGCACGACTCCTTCTACCCTCCCACGAGATGTTCAGGTTGCGTGTACTACCCTCAGGTTCGTGACTCTCAGCCCTCAGTGCCATCGCGTCCCTTGGTCCATAATTTGATGGTCCAGGTGTCATTCGGCCCATTCCGCAGTTCAGTAAATGCCGTTGCGTGGAGTTATTACTGAGAAGTCTGATACCCCTTTCGTATGGACATTTGGGACCTGTAAATATGCGTGAGTTGGTCACCAGCGGTAAGTAATGATATTACTTAACTTCTAGCACGAGTCAGCGACCCTCATTCGCTTGTGGGTTTGCCACATCTTCAAGTAGCGGCGAACACTATTGACGCTGCACAAGCCCGAGTTTACGTTGACCTTCGAGGCTTTACCGAACAGCGAGCGACGATTGGACAGCGCTGAATTAGAACTTCGCGCCGTGATCGCAAAACGGCACGTTCCTTGAACTATTCTAAAAGGAATACTCAGGAAGCTGCATTTTGACTTTCAGATTAGTATATGCCATCACGATTAAGCTTACCTTGCCGTGGTTTGGCGTCCTTCAACTTTAGGCAACCTTTAGGGTTGCCTGGATGGGTTGACATTACTTTTTGCAATCAATTTACCGGTCAACAAAACACGCTTCGCCACTCCGATTATCATTGTGTGGAGCGTTCCGCCGGTTAGTATCCACTTCTTGGTGAATGGAGATGTCCTATTTCTGATAGATTTATCCACGTTGATCCCGCTGTCTACTTTGATTCCCGATGAATTATAGCCGGCTTCAGATTAGTGTTTACCACCCTCATGATTCTGGTGGTTACACGCTAAATGCCCTCAGGCTCAATAGTGGCTACGTGGTGTCCGCTCCACAACGAGATAATCAGTCAAGTTGTAATTACAACTCTAGACAGGTGTGCTAAAACTTCCAGCACTCGATGCTATTGGATGCTCTGTCAAAAGGAAATTCTCCTCCCCAAATTTCGACATCCCTGGCACTTTCCCCGATATCCGACCATAGATTGCCTATCGCTTCCTGAGGAACCGCCGTATCGCTCACGCGTCCACCTTCCAGTTCTTCTTTGCAACTCTGTTACCATCCGATTAGTGGATGATGACATGCGGGGGAGTTGTGTGACACCGACCTGCATGGCTTGGCTAATGTCCGTATCGATAGCTGCCAGAACATCGGCCATTGCGCCATCTTCTTCCCATCTCAAACCAACAGTCGCTTTGACAATAGAAGAAAGGATAGCCAAACTTGCAAAACCCATTCCAGCTCCATATAGAGAACGGGCGCGGGCGAGGGCATGATCTAGCTCTTGTGTGGGAATGGCATGGATACCATTTTGACTAGTCGTGAATAAACCATTTGTTGTCGCTATACGTCTAGCATTGGTCTGACGAAGACGCGATCGTGCCGCGGCTGTGAATGCGGCTGCAAGACTGGGAGTGCCGGTTGCGAGGAGATTTCGAGTGATCGCGCGCAAACTGTTTGGGAGTCAGCATTGTCAGCGTCCTGACGTGGCAGCCGAGATGACAAGTACTTGCTCTTCTATCGTGGCATTTGCGATCAATGTGTCTACCTGTGAGAGCGCCCTTTAGGTGGGACTTTACGGTGTCTTAGACTGGCTCACCATCAAGTTACTACAAACGATCATCATCAGTGAACGGGCAAGGATGCTAAGGGTAAGACGACGACTTACACATGCCCCAATGTTTTGGTAGTCTCAGCGTGTGTATGGAGGGGTGTAACTTCGGGAGCAGGCATTGTAGCAGGATGAGCGCTGGTGAATGGATTGTGAGGGAGACACGAGTTGTCGGACAGCTGGATCCGAACTTATTTAACACTTTGCGGTGCATATTCTCGGGCATCAGCCCAGTTGGAAGTGTCATCCAGGACTGGTCCCGCAACTATTTCAAGGCAGGTCAGATCATCATTGATGAACACAGGTTGACCCTTGGGTACGTACTACAGTCACAGCGGTTATTACTTGTTTGCCGTGAAATGAATACTAATTTCGTTTTTCTTTTTTTCACTTTCTCCATCATGTCAAATCATGAAACCGGGTCTGTCAAACATGTCCTAAATCCAACAGGTGATTTCTGCATATCCCTTGGCGCCGTGGTCCGTTTGGATTGGAACGGAGTTTGATAATGAAACATTATAATGCCACATTTTGACTGCCTTGATCTCCTATCCCGCTCCCAACTATGCTTAGAACAACACCGCAACCCAAAGAGACATTCCTTCTCGGTCCCTTTACTGTTCCTCGAGTATGGGTAGGTCTTTGGCAGTTGTCAAGTAATGCTTGGGGAAGCGCTTCGGCAGCGAAGATTCGTCAAGCAATGGCTAGGCACATCGAAAGAGGTTATAATGCTTTCGGTAAGTCACAATGTCAGGTCATGTGTGTTTCCCTGCAATTGTGAACGCCGTTTTTGGCAGATATGGTACGCAATCTGTGCTCCTTGATAGGTCATTCAAATAAAGCTGACTTCGTTGGTATCGGCGTATAGGGTATGTTCAAATCTGTACCACATCTTCCATGAGCTCAGTAAGATCTCACAGCCGATCATTATGGAAGCGCAGAAATACTCTACGTAAGTTACTTCCCCGGTATCACCCAGGTCACGCCTAGAATCTTCAACCAACCTGGCATTTTTAGGGGCAATTCAAAGAATCACTACCCAGCCCGGCAGAAGTTGTCGGGGCCACAAAATGGTGTGTATTCCGACAAACAGAATTGTCGCGTTCTGTGGTGGAGAACGCCGTTCGGGAGCGTATGACACGCATGCGCACTACCACTGTGGACTTGTTGCAGGTGAGTGAGGGTTCGATACCCTTTCGGTCCTATCATAACCCTGGCCTTCCCCTGTAGTTTCATTGGCAAGACTACTCCGATAAAGGATATCTCACCGCCCTTCAGATTCTTCAAGACCTTCAGAACGAAGGGCTCATCAGCGCGGTCGGCCTGTGCAATTTTGATGCCATACGAACAGATGAAATATGTACACAATTAGGGCCTGGTTTCATCGTTTCAAATCAAGTTCAGGTTAGCATTCCAAACCAACGCTTCATTACAGTTCTCACCATGGTCTAGTTCTCTTTGATTGACACTCGACCCCTGCACGGGATGGCCGATGTATGTGAACGGCACAACGTGAAATTATTGACATACGGCACACTTGTACGTGTATCGGTTTTCTTCACCCTGATGTCGGATCACTACACAGTGCTTGGCAGTGCGGTGGATTTCTAGCAGATCAGTGGCTAAATCAACCAGAACCAGACCTGTATTCCGGTGTTTTGACACCATCTCAGCGCAAGGTACGGATCTTCTGCTCCGTGTAGGGTCGCCTAGCGCATACGGCAAAATCTCATAACCGCCTATAGTATCTCGACATGATTCTGAAGGCTTGGGGGAATTGGGCACTATTCCAGTCCCTCTTGGCTGTGTTGCGTGATATCGGTGATCGTTATGGAGGGCTAAGCATTGCAAACATAGCCACACGATGGGTCCTTGATCACTCTTTTGTCGGAGCTGTAATCATTGGTAAGATATTTGTCTGTCCTCGAAGCGGAGATTTATTTTATTGCTTGCAGGCGCCCGCTTGGGAGTTTCTGAACACACTGATGACAACGATCGTGTTTTTGGTTTCAGCTTGACTGACGAGGATAATCGTGCCATTGAAGCAGTACAAGCTCGGTCCAATGGTCGCCGGATGATCACTTTGATAGGGGACTGTGGGGCCGAATACCGTTGACATGGCTGTACTATCATTTTTCTGTACAGCTATTCATCTTGTGATTGTGGTGTATATTTGATGAGAACTTAGAAAACTAGATCTGTGTGCACATCTTCAGAATCACATTCGACAGAGATATTATACTATTCTCAGAAGAAGGATCTGCATCATTAGGTGGGGTCCGGAAAGTTTGATGCCATACCCAGCCTCCAGCGCTCTATCAACGTCAACGTTCTTCCATGTGATTTTTCAAGCTCCATCACATCAACCCTTTGATTTCATCACTGCGAACACCAACATCGCAAGCCACATGGGTTCCGTCGCCGTCGTTGCTGTGTTGTGTAGCATGTAAGATCCGAGACTCATGGTCCGTGGAGCTTCATCCGTACTCTGTGGGCTTCGGAGCTTACTTTGTTCCCTTGCATAGCAATGATCTCGATGAATTATATATATATATATTTGTGGGTACCGGCTACGAGGGGCAATGCAAATGAATGATATACAGTGACGGGGAATATTGTTTCACGAGTGCGGTGTGTGGAAATCTAAAACGCAATGTAAGCAGATCGGAACAGCAAAGCCCACAGATTCGATCAGAGCCTGCAATGAGGGTACATTATAGTTTGCTCATGGAATCGGCATGTTTGGAAATCATGGCTGATGACAGTCTTTGAATCGGCTGGAGCTTCCTTTTTACATCACGCAAAATTGCAGTCTTGGGTTGCCAATCCCGGAAAGCATCTCGCAGACGAATAAAGTCATCTGAAAAGAGCTCGGCAACTCTATCGTCAGCAATGAGGTCACGGAGAGCCCAGGGAATCTAGAAGGGAAATTCATTGCGAGAAACAGATATGACATACAGTAGCAAACCTCGTAATCATTCTGCTCCGTTCGCGCATCAAATGACTCCATCGCAAGTTCAACTTGTGGGTGTTGTCCAGAGTCAGATAGGAAAAGGTAGTTGATTGCGAATCTGCTTGCGGGATCAATCACATTCATTGGTCAAAGAATATTACTCACGAATATGTAGCAGTCTCCTCGTATGCGGTCGAATGTCCAACCCCATTCAGCGATCCAGCGGTTGACTCCGACAAATGCGCAAGGAGTCCACCATCTGATAGCCCTGCATTCCGAATACGTAGCAGGAGAACGAGGAGATTGGATAGGAAGTCTGAAGAACTAAAAAAAATTGCGACGTGAGCCGAACTTGCGTAAGATAAGTGACATGTCTGACACGCACTGGTATGCATCTCCATCAATGTAAAGCGCACGCAAAATTAAGGGATGCGCCACTGAAGTGAACAGCCCGGAGTACAGCCCTACTACTTGATCATTCAAGGACGCAATATACACCATCTTGACCTGTTGAACACGATGGCGTTAATATGATAAATAATCAGCTATGGATATAGTGCATACTCCATTATCCAGAACATTTCTCAAGGCCTTTACGTAGTCTCTTGAAATCTGACTGTCGGTGTTCTAATGGTGGTAACGCAATCATCTGATAATGTCCCACTTTATGCAACTAACTTACCTGAAATTCGAACAACTCCCGGGCAGCAGTCGACTCGAAGTACTAGGTTCATTCTGTATAAACTTGGGTGCCCAACGGGATCGAATGACTTACCTGGATATAAGGTAGGACTAATGAGCTCGTGCTCAGATATCGCAGTGGTCCCAAGTGAATTCCACACAGGGCTAGACAACACACCCTTTGCGGAAGGCGTGTGATACTGCTACCAGGAGCGTTAGCAGAGTCACGTGGTGCTGTGCAGATGTGGCCATCGGTGATGAGGCGATCCAAGATGTGGGTCGAAACAATTGATCCCTGGGAATGCGTAGCAAAAAATATTACATCGGCAGTCTGGAGGTCATCCATCCATTCCTTATTCCCGATCAAGTTCTGATATAGCCTGTTTTCACGAGATGGTCGTGTGAGCATCAAAGAGATCTTGTTGAGAAAAAGTTGTTCAGAACGCACTTATCCACTCGGCGGCTGATGGTGCCTTCACCTTCGAGGGGTATTTTGGTGATTTTCGATAGCTTCACCTCGTGCGTGTCCTGGAATTCTTCCAACGCCTGAACAGCCATGTTCACAAACTTTAAACTTGTCCCAGTCGGCTGCATAACGATCAGTTAAACTGTAATACACACACGACCATATACTAACCTCTCCGATAACTGTCCGCATGACAGCACCTTCGGAGGCCGGGTATGAGCATTATTTTTCCTCGTATGAGAAACACACACACCAGGGAACCACCCGTGCACGCCAATCACAACCGCCCTTTGACATCCTCGCAGCACGTCCTGTTGTTTCTGTCCTGTAATCACATCCCACGAACGTGGGAGCGCCTTTTCATAGGGCTCCAAAGGCCTCTCCGCAGACTTTCCCTTGCCTTTCTTGTGTGAGGCAGTCTCATCACGCGCAAAGAGTACTTCGCTGACGTATTGAAATGTCTTGGAAAGAGCAGATGGAGGCTCAGGAGGCACATGGGCGCGAGGATGCGTGTGAAAAGTATCGTCCCATGTGGGCAAGACCAAATTTGGTGGAGAAATTGTAGGGGTCTTCACCCCCGACTTCTTCGAGGGCGTTGGAGATGGTGGGCGCTTGTTGGCGCCAAACCGGATGGCATTTGAAGATTTGGACGAGCCATTAGTCGGAATAGATTTATGTTCAAGTTTATTCTGAGCTAGAGATGGTGAGGAAGGAGAAATATGCGGCACACCCGTCGAACTCGGAGATGGGACATCCTTGCTCAACGGAGCAGAACAAGTAGCTGACGATGGAGAGCCAGCTGTCGGACTGGCTTCATCCTCGTCCAAATCCATAACTTCCATCTCTTCATTGTGACTTTCATTCGTAATGCTCTTCATCGCCATTGCACGAGCAGAAAAAAAGGAGATCCAGCCCGATTTGTTACTAGTAATTGTCGATGATATCGGATTTGCATCGCTAGTAGGTGGTTGTGGATCCGACGAAGGGGGAACAGCGATAACCATCTGGTTCAAGGGTTCATCATCCTGGCGAAGTTCCGACTGGACGTTCCCCTCTCCATCGGAGACAACTTGAGTACCCGGAGGAGAACCTGTGATTTTCACAGGAGTAGACGAGCCTTGGTACCACGACCACGGGGAATACCATGCAGAGCCTTGCGACTCTGATGCGTCGGTCAATAACAAGGAAGGGGCCTTCTGTGGTGCGATCTGCTCCTCGGCGCTATTTTCCGACTTCGGAGGAACAACGGTGGAGTCGGCAGTTGGCTGTGCCGCCATCTCACTAACTGGTGCATCGGAAAAGACCGATGGCATGGCAGGAGCGTTTGAAACTGGTTCTGTCTGTATATGACTCTCAGATGCTTGAGCATTACTCCATCTGAGATATGTCCACCATGTGCTTGTCTGCGCGTTAGTAACCTCAGTGGCACCTGAGGCACCCTTGTGAACCATCCCATCAGGTTGAGATATAGTATCTGCTGCGATATTCACCTCGGTCGTCTCTGCGACCGGAGCAGAAGGGGTCTCCGTAGTAAATGGTACGGATTCTATGAAACAATGTGTTTAGCCATCTCATTAATCGGAGGGCCGTAACAAACCTTTCGTAGTGAATTGTTGCTTGCGAGACGGAGATGACTCCGCTGGTAGCATCGTAGTGATGTCATCACGCTGAGCTGCAGCAACAGTCTGTTCAAGAGGGAGCTTTGGTCGTCCGAGTAAAGGGATGCTCAGTGTAAACCGGCTGGTAGAGTGATTGAGCGTCAAAGTAGACTGTGATGTATCACTGCTTTGCCGGACAGCAGACGGAGTCGCTGGAGGCTCATCCAGCGGCGAGGGTACGGAAGCGGTGCCGGGTTCAGAATGATGGCCTGCTGGCGACAAAGAACATTTATATGATGCCGGACAAGAAGAAGTAGTTATTTTATCGTCTGAACGCATTTGTATAGGTATATCCTGAGGAAAGGATGAGGGTGGAGCAGCATCTCCAGTTATATTGAGAACAGGTGGTTGATGTGGGAGTGAAGAGGCGGTAAGAATATCTGAATGTGGAGGTTTCGATGATATCGAGGATCCCTTCGTCGATGCTTGCACCGAGCTCGGGGGTCGGGTCGTCTCGATGCCAGATTCAAGTGACTGTTCCCCTTTTCCTCGGGTCCACGAGGCAAACCAAGAAGACTTATGAGACGAAGTTGTGACGGATGTATCGCGGAGAGAGATAGGATCAGACGGAGCAGGCGCTGTTAAGTCTATGGAAGTCACATCTCCACCTGGCTGTACGGTCGTTATGTCGCTCTCGCTAGGCAGTCGAAGCGTAGGAATATCATGTGAACCTGAAAATGATATGTCACATTCAAAAGTGAGAAAGCACAAAAATATGAAAGGGTACCTTCTGACGCCAACGATTGATTATGAGTGGTCGGCACTTCAAGTTGCTCTACTTCGTGGGCACTGGTGGGCTGGCTCAAAGGAGCAGAGGCCGGTATCTCGTCTAAAAATTCCTCTGGGTGAGCCTTTGACATCGAGCTTAATGTAGATGTAGGATTAGCTTTGCGCAGGATCTGAGGTAGCTTCTCAGCTGCGGTTTGGGACGACGAAACGTGTTGAGCTTCCCCAAAGACCAGAGATATGGAAGGAATTGAGGATTTCTTGATAACGATCATACGGTTCCAGCGATGGCGATGAGGACGAGAGTTCATGCGAGAAAACTAATGGATTGTAGCGAGTCACTGGAACATCGAACAACAAGTGCTGGTAGAGTTACTAGAGTAACACCAGACACGCACTCTCAGAGCAGCTTTCCTATTTCGGCAATTAAGGTAAGCCACACGTGACGGCTCACATGATGAGCCACGTGGCTCCTCCAGTTGTGCAATTGTGCAAACTGTTGCAGTTGAAAATTATTCTGGGAAGTTGGAACTCTGGGGCCTGGGCGCCGTTTGGTAGTGCATTTTTGCGACCCAAGGAGACGACCACCACAAGTTCATCACTCGCATGATTGATATGAAGCACAGAGCCTGGGACCACCTATGGAAGACGGGCCCGGGAGCCACAATTGATGTAAGACATGCAAACATCTCTGCAAGTCCTTACTGAGAGCAACCAATTTGTTTAACGCGTATCGGGTTTGTGTGAACAGGTTGGTCTTGTCCAACCACCCATTCAAGTCCCTAATGTTGAACGAACGGCCTGTGAGTATATTCGTTCTCTATCGACCTGCTACCTTGCTCACTGGAGCAACAGTCGCTGTTCTGTTGTCAGGGTGTGAGCTTGTTCATTCATTATTTGACAACCTCATCCCTTACCAAAATCATTGCTGATCCATTGATAGACTGAGTGATTTAATCCACCGTCGAGCTCGAGTCATGCTGACTGACGGCATCTCCCGTCCGTACACAACCCTTATGGTGCCCTTCGTGACCCCTCCTGTGGTAATTTTCGCGACCGCCTGCACCCACACGACCACCATTACCATGTGCGCCATGCAAGGTCTTGAGGACTGAAAGATTCTTGTGATACAAAGTACTCCCGTTTTCCATAGAGCACCACTTTTTGCAAATTATGCTGTTGCTTTCATTCTACTTCGAGATCCACATCCCTCAGGCTGTTCAGTCACCTCCGAGGTGGGCTCAGGTACGAAAACATAGAGCTCGTTTCAATGACTGATGATTGGATGCAGAATGTAGTGCGTAGCTTCACTACAAAATGACATTCAACTTCAGTAGGCACACAATCCCGCTCAAGTCGTTGCACCCCATGCCGCATTACTGAGGCTACTAACACACAGGTAGTTTGGGAGTTTTTACTATGCAAGATTTTTTTCGAAATGTTAATGATAAGGTTGGCATTCTTGCTGTACATTTGGACACAGTAAAAATAAGAATAAAATGGATGGATTCGGTCTGTACGTCCACGCTGATACCATACTACGTAAAGTGGTGAACTTGAATACTTAGTTTTGAACGTGCACTACATAGATGAGAACGAGCTCACGCCCGTTGTGCCTTCGGCACAAATCGAAGGAGCGCTACGCGCTCCTTCAGGGGAGAAAAATGAGTGTTGTTCCTTCGTCACAGGAAGCCAAGGAGGGCTACGCCCTCCTTTGGCTTCCTGGCCTCAGGCTGCATCCTAATAAATTGTGCATTTTGAATGATTTTGAAATATATTTATGAGCAGCTTTTCAAAGAACTCAAAAGTACAATCTATCACACCACATAAAAGTACATAAGATCAGTCAGTGCTATGTTCTTTGAGCAGGATTTTGACCAATGTAAAAAATACCAAATATGTAACAGTATCATTGAATGTATTTGTTTTTCCCATCTAGGGATCAGCAGGGGTATGGGAAACTTGAGGGTAGGGGTAGGGGTTTGGATCTGAAGACCCCTGTACCCCTGGAAATATATCCCCAAATTGATTACCATAGGAGTGATGGATAAGTATAAAATTTTGAAGTTGTACATTTGCCTTCAAATGGTAATATATGTGATTGGAAAAAGTGTTACCATGGGGTATACCCATGCTAATCCCTACTCCCTGCTCCCTGCTCCCTGCTCCCTGCTCCCTGCTCCCTGCTCCCTGCTCCCTGCTCCCTGCTCCCTGCTCCCTGCTCCCTGCTCCCTGCTCCCTGCTCCCTGCTCCCTACTCCCGTCTCCCGTCTCCCTACTCCCGTCTCCCATCTCCCGTCTCCCTACTCCCGTCTCCCTACTCCCGTCTCCCGTCTCCCTACTCCCGTCTCCCTACTCCCGTCTCCCTACTCCCTACTCCTGTCTCCCGTCTCCCGTCTCCCGTCTCCCGTCTCCCGTCTCCCGTCTCCCGTCTCCCGTCTCCCGTCTCCCGTCTCCCGTCTCCCGTCTCCCGTCTCCCGTCTCCCGTCTCCCGTCTCCCGTCTCCCGTCTCCCGTCTCCCATCTCCCGTCTCCCTTCTCCTGTCTCCCGTCTCCTGTCTCCTGTCTCCCGTCTCCCATCTCCCATCTCCCATCTTCCCAATCTCTCTGTTTCCCATCTCCCGACCTCCTGATCTCTCTGTTTCCCATCTCCCGACCTCCTGATCTCTCTGTTTCCCATCTCCCATCCTCCCGATCTCCCTGTTTCCCTGTTTCCCATTTTCCCATCCTCCCCATCTTCTGTTCTCCTATCTCCTCCCATTCTCCCTGTTTCCCATTCCCAATTTTCCTGTCTCCTCACTATCTCCTGTTCTCCAGTTGTCAAGTCTCTACTTTCTCTATTTTTTATTTATTTTTTCACAACCTTTTCTCATTCATTTCCTGTCACCACATATATTTGTTGTCCCCCTGTCTGCAAAATTATATCATGTTGTTCCATTTTCAATTTTATTATTTACTGTATGCATGTAACATAAACAATTACATTACAATAAGGAAAATACTTGTATTGCGTAGTGCGCTGCTCTAATGGGCAAGTGAGTCGGCGCTCGAAAGCCACGCGAGAAAACCACGCGAGATTTCCAAAAACAGGTTTAAGCGAGGTAAGCGAAATACGCGAAATACGCGAAAGCCACGCGAGCGCGCGAACGTTTCCGAAAACCGTCGTACTTTACTTCTTAGATCATGAGATCACCCAGTGATTAATGTCACACGTCCATGTGACAGGCGTGTTTGTGACAATGTCGCGTTCAAGTGCTTATTACCAGTAGTATCACTTAGACCGGTAAGTAACAGCCAGTACCTATAAGACCAATAATATTTCAAGTTGGCTTGGTCAATATGCCCCTCATCCGCATAGAAGTGAGCGATTTCAAGTCGTATCGGTGCGCCCATATAATATCTTGTCAAGGACTAAGTCATAGATCTAATAATTACCGGGTCTACCTATTCCCTTCCAGGGGCCACCAAGTCATCGGACCGTTCAAGAACTTCACCTCCGTTATCGGCCCCAATGGTGCTGGAAAATCAAATCTCATGGATGCAATCTCTTTTGTGCTTGGTGTAAAGAGTGCGCAACTGCGCAGCAGCCAGCTGAAAGATCTCGTCTACCGTGGGCGACGGCTCGCCAAAGGCCCTTTAGATGGCTCCGATGCCACGCAAGACCAGGAAGACGATGATAATAGTGATGACCAGGGTGAAGGGACTGCCAAGAAGGCATGGGTGCTTGCAGTGTTTCAGGATGAAAAGAGAAAGGAGTGGTTATTTCAACGAACGTGTGTTCTACCTGGTTTGACATACCCTGGAATTCTGATTGTTATTTTTAATGCAGCATATCGACCACTGGAGCGTCTGAATACCGTCTTAACAATAAGGTCGTCACCTACTCCGCGTACAATGCCGCCCTGACGTCCCACAACATCCTCGTCAAAGCCAAGAACTTCCTTGTCTTCCAGGGTGATGTCGAGGCTGTCGCATCTCAGTCTCCAAGAGAGCTTTCACGCCTCATAGAGCAAATATCAGGTTCTCTTGAGCTTGCGCAGGAGTATGAGAAAGCCAAGGAAGCTCAAGAACGCGCAACAGAGAACGCAACATTCAACTTCACGAAGAGGAGAGGAATCGCGGGCGAGATTAAGCAATATAAGGAACAAAAAGGCGAAGCAGAACGATTTGAGAGCTTGTGCGATCAAAAGGTGCGCCCGCGTTACATTCTTTTCAGTGCAATACTCATGTGTTCCCAGGATGACCTTATCTTGAAACGCATTCTCTATAAGCTTTTCCACATTGAAGAGGCACTCGAAGCGAATGCCCGCGACATTCAAACAAAGTCGAAGGCCCTCGCTGGTTTACGTGCAGAGCATGAAGAACACGAGAAGGCTCTTGAGAACGTGCGTGCAGAGCAAGCGAGGGCCCGCACAGCAGTCGTACGAGAGGAGAAGAAAGTCAAGAAGGCCGAAAAGGCGTTGGAAGCTAAGGTCAGCTGATTTTGTTATTTACTACTAACTAACTTTAACGCATAGTAGGAACCTGAGCTAGTGGAAGTGGACGCTCAGATCAAGCACTCATCCAGAAAACTGCAAAATTCACAGAAGATACAGGAGCAGGTTGGCAATGATGCTGAACGTCAACAAGCTAAGCTCCACTCGCTTAGGCGAGATCTTTCCAATGCTAAACAGGCTGCAGATGAGGCTGCAGGTAAGCCATCCGTTACATCGTTTCCTTTTATTTCATCCTCATTATATGCAGAGGCGCAAAGACGTGCATCTCAACATAACACTTCTCTCAGCGAGGACAGTCTAGCCGAATACCGCTCACTGTGAGTCATACACGTCAGCGTGTGTTTTGCAGTGTTAATGCCACAAACAGAAAAGCATCAGCCAGCGTCCTCGCCGTTTCTGAGCGTCAGGCCCTGGAGACGCTCGGTCGAGACGAAAAGACAACATCCCGGACACTTGCTCAAGCGAGGACCAAAGATGAAGAGTTGCAACAGAACCAAGAAAGGCTGCGCGGCGACGAGCAAACTCAGAAAGCCAGCAAGTCAGAGGTACGTTTCTTTCGAGTTCATCATATACCACCCACTTATTGATTCTCAAAGCTCGAGGAAAAGCTGGCCACCCTCCAGGGCGACCATGCGCGCTCAAAGCAAGAATACGAGAACCAGCAGAGTGAGCGTACAAGGATCAGGTATTTCTTTCTTTTCCAAGCACTTACCAAACCATTTCACTGCTGTTCCGTAGCCGTCTTGAGACCGAGACAAACGAAAAGCTCGCGGATGTCTATCAGCGTTTGCTCCAAGCAGGCGTCGACAGGAATGAATCCGAGCGCGAGGCAAAGCTGAAGGAGACGCTCGCCAGTCTGCAGCGCATCTTCCCAGGTAAACGCCGCCTGCCTGGTCCGAGAAAGCCACCGCTCACATATCATAGGCGTCCGCGGGCGCGTGGTCGACCTCTGTAAACCCACACAGCGCAAGTACGAGACAGCTGTATCTGTCATCCTTGGGCGCAATATCGACGCTGTCGTCGTGGACGAAGAGAAAACTGCCATCGAATGCATCGACGTGCGTTTCTTTGCCTTCTGTCATTGTCTATCTAAACTAATTTTGAAACATTATAGTATATGCGCACCCAGCGCGCAGGTCAAGCAACTTTCCTCCCCCTCGACACGATCAGCACCAAGCCAATCAACGACAAGTTCCGCTCATTTGCTAGAGGTGCACGTCTCGCTGTGGACGTAATTCAGTATGAGCCTGCCGTAGAGCGCGCGATGCTCCATGCGTGTGGGAATGCACTTGTATGTGACACGATGGATGTGGCGAGGTACGTGTGCTGGGAGCGGGGGCAGGAGGTGAAAGGTGGGTTGGCACTCGTTTTCGGGAAGTTGGACGCCATGCTAACATTTGGGCAGCCGTTACATTGGAGGGCACTGTCATCCACAAGAGTGGGCTTATTACCGGTGGGCGCAGTACGCATGGGGGAGGAAAGAAGTGGGAGGAGAAGGACGTGCAAGGTAGGCAGCTCACTGACCGTGGCGCCTCACACTCATTTATATGTAGGCCTTACCCGTCTTCGTGACAATCTTGTGGCACAGCTTCAGGAATTGAATCGCTCGAAACCGAGGGGCAAGGCAGACGAAAACGTCATTGCTGAAATTACACGACTAGAGAGTGCTATAGCTGTTATAAGAGACGATCTGGTACGTTCCTGGAACAGTAGCCGGTGGCATTACCATAATCTCATTGTTCCATCTGGGGTATCTAGAGCGCCTGCAAATCCCGGTACAACGGCATCAAAGAGGAACTAAAGCACGTCGAGCGGGAGCTCAAGAAGCTCTCTCCCGAGCTCAAAAAGGTTCACGCAAACTGTGTAGCAGACCCAAATGGAACTGACCATAATCACAGGCTCAAACTTCACACTTGAAACTCTCTTCCCAAATCGCAGAACTCCAATCTGCTATTGACTCAGCTGAGGACGGCGTATTTGCCTCGTTTTGCTCCCAGATCGGTGTCGAGAATATTCGAGAGTACGAGGAGCGTCAGCTGAAAGTCGCAGAAGAGGAGAGCCAGGCGCGGCTTAGATTCGATCAGCAGGTTGCGAGGCTGACGCATCAGTGAGTTGTATTTTTCGCAGTTTTAAGGTTGGGAGACGGAACTGACATGTGTGCGCAGGGTTCATTTTGAAGAAGAGCAGTTGAAGTTGACACAGTCGCGCCTGGTGATGCTACGGAACGCGGCTGAAGATGAGCAACGGAAAGTAGCGGAGCTAGAAGAAAAGAAGCAGACCATTCAAGTTGAAATTACGGAAGCGCAGGAGGGCATCGCACAGCTTAGAGAAATGTTGCAAGGCCTTAATGATGTGCTCGAAGAGAAGAACAAGCATGTCGACCAAGCCAAAAAGACGCACACGAAAGCTGCCAAGATACTTGACCAGGCTCTCAAAGAGATCGGTTTGAAGGTACGTTGATCGTTTGCTCAGATAGCTCGGCCACTTATGATTCATCGATTCATCTTCAGAACGACGAGATTGAGAAGCTGGCACTAGAACGATCGGCGACTTACAGGAAATGCAGGCTTGAGGACATCAAGCTACCTCTACTGGAAGGAAATTTGAAGAACGTCCCAATGGAAGAGGTGAGGCCGTTGAAAAGTCATACGCGCATTCATTTCGATTCTTGGTTAGAACCTTCGCGAGGAGGTAGCGATGGATGTTGATGATGACGATGGTACCCAACAACCACGACAAGTCCAAGATTATGGGATTGAAGTTGACTTTGACTCTTTGACCGAGGAGGAGCGTGCGGTATGTAAGCTTTGACGGAACAGTATCGCGCTTGACTTTCTTTTCATCAATAGGATAATTCTCCTGAGACTACTGCCGAGTTCGATGCACAAATTGCGAAACTCAACGGAGAGATCGAGAGAATGGCACCCAACTTGAAGGCTATTGAAAAGTATGTCGACTCCTATTTTCCAATGACTTGATAGTGATTGTTGGACAGGCTAGACGATGTCGAGGCCAAGCTTGCAGACACAGAGAAAGAAGCTGATAAGGCACGGAAAGACTCAAAAAATGCGCGCGATCAGTTTAACGATGTCAAGCGAAAAAGGTATGTGAATAGTTTACTTTGAGCGCCATCCTCATCCCAGCAACCAGATGCGAGTTATTCAACAAGGCATACAACCACATTTCAGATTGTATCGACCAGGTCTATAAAGACCTCACTAAAGGGAAGGCTTCGCCGATGGGAGGCGTCGCATATCTTAGTTTAGAGGACAGTGAGGTGAGTCTTTCAGTCTGTCAAGTCCAGGCCATTTTACACTTGTTGATCACAGGAACCTTATAATGCCGGAATCAAATATCATGCCATGCCACCGATGAAGCGATTCCGTGACATGGAACAACTCTCGGGCGGGGAGAAGACCGTGGCTGCTTTGGCTCTACTTTTCGCGATACACAGGTTTGGTCTTTTCGTCTTCATCCCAAAAACCTTTTTCTCACTATGTCTCAAGTTATCAGCCTGCACCGTTCTTTGTCCTTGATGAGGTAGACGCTGCTCTGGACAATACCAACGTTGCCAAGATCGCCAACTATATCCGGAGCCAGGCGTCCGACTCCTTCCAGTTTATCGTCATCAGCTTGAAAGGTTCCTTGTATGAGCGTGGTAATTCCCTTGTTGGAATCTACCGTGACCAAGATGTAAATAGCTCTCGCACGCTGACGTTAGATGTAAGTTATTGCTAAATGAATGTGTGCGGGATCAGGAACTCACAAACTTTCAGTTGACTCAATACGATGAATAGTGGAGCTTTATTGCTATTTTGCTACCGTGAGCTGCATCCCTGTATATTTTATTGGCTGCATTCTGCCTATCGATAATTTGATCAACGCAACAATTGGACTCAAGAAGACGATTTGAATGGCTGGAGTCGTGTTTGGGGGCCAATGGTTATCAGTTCGTCCGTGCTGAAACTATTCTCATTCCATGATCTCTCATCGGGAGGTGCAAGTATAGAGCAACTAGCAGACTACCGACCATCACTACCGCATGCTGATGTAAACATTTGCAAGCTGCGGATAGTGTTGGAATGACAGACGGTACTTATAGTGACTATTGCCATTCCTTGAGAGCGAGAACAAGCCAACCAAGTACTTTCACCTTCGAAAGGTCCAACATTTCTTTCAAGTCAAATATGCATGCGAACAGCTGCTGTCATTTGGTGCACAGTGAAGGTTTGATTGACTGTGAGGTCATCCGGCGAATCTCACCCTCCTCAATCGTCTCCGGATCAACCGCTCTCTTGGGCCGTCGCTCGTATATAAGTACCCTTGACTGTAGCCGATCGCCCACCTACAGGTACCGGTTAACTGGAACATGATGTCTGCAGACGAAATCCGAACCTTCGCATTAGCGCCTACAATGGGTACGAGACTATCTCCCTGAGTGACATGAAAAAAGGCTCAAAATCACTGAGCAAGAATGACTGTCATAGTATGGAAAGAGCAGCTGGCTTTTGGACAGGATGAGTTCATCATGTATTGATCAACGAGCCTGATGCATGCACTTTGAGAATTTCATCTATAGATGATTAAAGCTTACGCGATGCAAGATTAACCCTCCTCTAGAAGTCGGGAATTACTAATGCGCAGACCACTGCGCCGGCAATGCTGACGGCCGGCCAGGCGAGTGACAATGAGAAATATCTTTCTGGATCACTAATACATGGCACGTAGCCGCATGATCATGATGACTCGCGTGATGTTTCAGTCAAGTCAATGTATTGTACCTGCGTCCTGCAGTTATAAACTTGTTTATTATAATACAACGTCCGTCATCCGACCTGAGAAATCCAGTGAACGATTAGCCCCTGAAGGATCATGACTCCAAAATGTATGATATCGAACCATATGCATATCCTTTGTTATCGATTCAACTGGCAAAATACGGAATCTTCGAAAGAGATAAACGGGAGGAGAAATTTGTGACGCACAAGGCCAGCCTTGGCTGCGAGATGCAACCCTTGGTTGGAAGGTAATGTCATCGTAACTCATGTGTTTAGGTCGCGAAATTTCGTTTGCCTATGCATGCTAGTTAGTTATCTAGGTGTTCATGGGTTGTATTAGAGTCGCACCTTGACCTTGAGAAGTCTGACACGATGTGAATGGAGAAACTGCGCATGTAGTCAGAAAAGAAAACTTGAGTGCTTAATCTACACAGAAAGATGTGAAGAACGCAGGGATAAAGCACAGAAAATGCACCTGTGTACGACTTTAACAGCGATTCGGACATTCGACTCTGTGTCGCACGAAACGAACTCTGTTGTAACTCTCACCATTCACGTGGTGCCATAAAGTACCTATGAGTAAATGCTCAATGGATGGCTGTATTTAAGTAGGTAATTTGAGGCGAGTCTCAAACAAAGATGTAGAAAATGACTAGAGAAGATGCCTCAGTCGACGGTGACAGCCCGACTTCTGAGATCGTTTTTAGCTTCATTTATTTCCTACAGACAGCGATCAGCGTATAAAAACTTGAGAGATATAACCGATGCTTACCTGCAGCAACTCGTGATAGGCTTCAGGACAGTCACGGAATGTAAACACCCCCCAGCCGAGACTCCAGAGGGAATATGACCCGAATGACACCAGAAGCCACCAAGGAATCTAATTTATGTTATGGGGGCATGAGCTGAGACACTTGTGCCAGTAAGCTTATGAGAACGCACGACAGGAAGGATCTCTTGGGCTACACTGGCGTCAATGAACGGTATGGGCAGGGCCTCAAATAACACCAGTAGATAGATCAAAATAAGGATGGAAGAGTATATTGAGACTCGTTGCAAACGGGCCATAATTCAATACAACAGGGAGTCCCTGAGAAAAGTGGTTGGCAAATGATAAATGATAAATGATAGATGAGGACTGGTCGTCGTGCTTGACAGCGATTCTGAGTGTGTTTCCGGGTCACGTGATTTACCTGAAGTTAGTTCTTTTACATCTCTCCCGGTCATTTATCGGAAACCATGTCTTTACTCTGCAAACGTCCCTCTGCAGGGCTCTTGTCACCATTTCCCCTAACAAGAAGTGTCTCTACTTCTCCATACGGTCGCTCACATGTTTTCAAGCAACGTCTACCCAAATTACCCAACCCAGTAGTTCCTCATTTCCCTCAGCGCGTCGTTCGTGCGGACGGCTCATCATACATGCAATGGACGACATCGCCACGCTCACGAATAACGTTGACGCGCGATACAACAAACCACCCTCTTTGGAACGCTACTCAACGTTTGAGCGGGGCGGTCGGTGAGGGAGGTATAGAAGATGAAGAGCAGGAGGGCACTGGTCGTTTGGGACGCTTCAAGAGAAGGTTTGGACAGGAAGTCGGTGTGGGAGAGTGGACTGAGCTTCAAGAGGGCATTGAGGCTGAAGTGGAGCCTCCAGCGAGCAAAAAGCAAAAAGCAACCCCGAAGAAATGAGTGCGTTGATGCCTAGTCTGTCTTTGGCCCTTGGAGTGTGTTTGCCCTTGTAGTAATTGAAATCCTATCTTACCAGCTTTTTTCAGCTTCTCGCAGCGAACTCCGTTGCAAGCAGACTTAAGTTGGAACTCGTCATTTTATCACTAAGATGCACATTCACCTCAATCAAGTATGTTTCGGGTGTTGAAACGTTGATACCTTGCCATCAATTTCAAAAGTACACAAGTTCATCTTGTACCGTATACGTACGTCTTGGCCGTCTTCGCAATGCGCTTGTTCCTGCCTACTCTCGCATGGCTGTATCACCCATGTCAGCCTTCATTAATCCATTGGGCACCTTACTGTTTGCGTCTCGACTCTCATTTGATGTTTGAGCATTAAAACGTCAATATTCCATGCCCTGAGTCGTGAGTCGCTGAGTCTAGCTAGATATATTTATGATTCGGATGTCATGCGAACGTTTATGTAATTTGGAGCATGGTCCCATTTTGCAGCTTCGCTCAACTCCTCATACGTGTCCAGACCTCCAGGAAGGAGAGTTGGTCTGTCGCTGCCCTCGCTGCCCTCTCCGTCGCTCCTAGGTGAGGTCCGATGAAGTTCAACATGTTTGGTTCGAGTTATCCAGGCACTGCTGTCAATATCCGGTTGTCAGACGTCCCTAAGGGCGCTCATCTGCCTCGGGCCTTGTGACTGGTGCATCCATTGTCCATGTTCCTCGCGAGCACCGCTCGTCGCATAATGTTCCGGAGTATACTAGTAGTACTAAATTATGTGTGTGTTAGATTCATCACAAAAACCGATTACTCTCCGCCTCCATCCCCTTCGCCATCCTCAGCATCACCACATTTGAAGACAGGCTCGAGAACTACAGCAGGTAAGTGAGCCAAAATTTCGGAGATCATCCACGTAGAAATAACATACCCCGTTCCCGATGAATACCTCTGCCTTCTCTGCAATTGCCATGTCTATTGCCATAGCCACATGCTTCTGCTCCGAATCGAGGACGATATCAGTACTACTTACCAAGTCGTCCCACCCGTCTTCCTCAAGCGCGTTCTTCAGGTCATCGAGACTCCATGCCCATTCGTTTGAGAGCACATACACTCGTTTCAGCCCAGGATGCTCTTTCCGAATGTTCCTTAGCCTTTCTACAACCTGCTCCGTTGATGGCCAGCAATGATCGAGATAATACGACAGCCTTGCATCAGTGTCGTTGACATACGGAGACCGATCGAATCGATCAGGGAGCGATGGATGTTGATTTATACCCATGTAGTCTGCGCCCCACCTTGCAAGATTCGGACAATGTCGTTTGTAATCGCCCCTGCGGAGGTGCACCGCGACCAGTCCAGCGAGTGATTTACGGGAGTGTGCATCGTAGAGGTCTTTAGCAGACTCTGGTTGAAGGAGCGCAAAATTACGCGAAACCGCCGCTTGCACAAGCGGCGACCAAGCGAAGTCCGTCAACATGGGCGATTTAGTCAAAGATTCCCAGACGGAGAGAATCCGCGGGTTTCCGAAGAAGCTTGACGACTGATCAATCGTTTAACCTGGTATTTTGTCGGATAAGAACTCACTGTCTGTCGAAGACATCGTGGGCAGACGAATCTATTTCTATGCATGGCTCTTGGACAGATGCGAGCTGATATACCCACCAATCGATCATGACGTCGCCGTCCGCATCGTTTGGCGCGGTCAGAGAGCTGATAACGCGTTTCTGGCTGTCAGGACCCCCACAGACTTGTGTATAGAACTCGGCGTTCACTGCACGGGGTGCATTCGGTGCGCTAGGCATTGGCCCTCCTGCGGTTGGACCCGATATGAGGGCGTTTAATGGTATGCGTGCGGGACGCAGAGCGAAATCGTAGATTGTCCATGGAAGTGGTAAGTGCGACCATGTATAGTCCTCGAAGACAAATGATACGTTGGTCGCATAGGCGAGGTAAGACATCAAGATACTGATGCGTGATAAGCCACTTTTGAGACTTGATATGATAATACCAATACACACGCTTCCTGAAGAACATTATTGAACCCGAAGCCCCACAGGTGACCTGGAAATCGTAGGTACTGCGGCTGATGTCTGGACAAGGAGTGTTGAGGGAGATGGTGTTCGAATGACCTGATATCATCATAGTTTGGTGGTATGCCCTGACAGACAATTGCAAGGAACAGGAACACCGGGACGAGGGTGACGGAGACGAGGACTTTTCGAAGGGTGAACACGCGGATGAAGTTACGCCACGAGCAAGAATGTTGGCGACGGTATTTAGTGGTGCGTGGTGGTATGGAGGGAGATGTGGCGCCAAGAAGGATATACTCTTCCGGTCTGAACGTCCAAGAAAATGCACTGCGCATACTACGGGGCATCCAACCTACGGCCTTGGGCTGTACGTCGTAGTGGGAAGGGAGGTAAATAGGCGGATGAGGAAACCTCTGGGTAAAATAGTTGGTCGCGGTGGAAGTGAGAATGCTGGAGCTGCGGACAAAGCGTATGGAATATGAAATTATTATAACTAGCACCATATATATGAACTATGTTCATGCATGTGTTGAAATTGTTAATTCGTGCCAGCACCGTGGAGGACGAATGTGGTCAGCAACCGCGCAGCGTGCACTCCTGGAAGTCTCCAAGCCAATCCGTAATCAGGGAAGTAGTAATAATTTAGACGCTCAGTTCTGAATTTAGAGTACGGCAATGCAGGTTTCAACGGAATTTATTTCCCACTGTTCGCGTTCTCATGAATCGTAAGCCAACTAGTTGGTCTTGACCTGTTTCAGTACCTTCACGGTTTACTGACAGATCTTCACTACAAACGACAACTGCATGCTTACCAGCAGGCCCAAGCTGTTCAATCCACGGCAGTCGACAAACACAACTGACTCCAATACCGCAGCACAATCTACTGCCACCAGCTCGGACGCACCCACGCCAACCATCAGCAACAGTCAGGTGCGTGTCTTGACTTCGGACCGGGAGACCAAGCCCAATTTTCCCTATATACTGCTATCATTTTGCGCAGCAATATTTATCTCTGCCTGCAGGCATCCACGATAGCGACTATACTGTCAACCAGCCAGCCTGGTAGCTCCCAGGCTACCAGCGATAGTTTACCATCAAGCAGTCCCACACCATCCTCTTCTGATGTCATTACTACGACTTCTTCTGTTATTACAACGTAGGTATCTTTGGCATCTTTTTGTTTACGAGCTATCTAACGAAAATTTACTCTAACTAGGTCATCTCAGTCTGACTTAACAGCATCATTGCCACCCGTTACATCTACAAGTTCAGAAACTTCTAGCTCTACACCTACATCTCAGCCACCTACTTCCACAACTTCATCCTCTACCTCGGTCTCGGCTCCAACACCGACCACCACCAGCACCACCAGCACCAGCACCAGCACCAGCACCTCCACCAGCACCTCCACCTCCACCATCACCTTATCACCATCACCTACTCAAAACAACCCGACATCTACGACTCCAGCTTCCACATATGCACACCAGACGACATCGACCATCACCTCGTCTTTTGTGACGGTTGTAGGTGGATCTACCATGACAGTACGTACCTTTTTTACCAACCCAACTCCTTTTAACACGCCATCAGTCTTTCAGTTTGATCCCTACGGTCATCAGCGAATCCTCGACCACCACTACAGGCGCAAGCGATCGCACTGCCGTTATCGCTGGCTCCGTGATTGGTGGAGGCCTGTTTCTAATCATTGGTCTTTCTGTATTTTTTTACCGCCAACGTCAGCGCTTCAAACACTTCCACTTCCTCGATGCTATCAATGTACGCAGGCGACAAGCCCGTGCCAGAGCAACGATGCTTGCGAGCGAGGACCTTGAGGACGTTGATGTCGTACGTCCGTCTCCGGGAAGATACTCCGATCATGATGCCTCCTGGGATCCGCATGATAGCTCTGGGTCTTATCATACCGAACGTCGCACACTCATGGGACACGTAGGACACGGTGGGGACATTGACTTGAGCCACATCATCGACGACGTCATGGGCCCTTCAGCGTTAGGCGTGCACTACTCACAAAATTCCCTATCATCTTCCTATCGCGACTTGTCAGGGGATGAGTCTGCGCCTCAAACTAGAGAGAGAACATCGCAAATTGCGTTACTAGAAGCCGCAGGGCTGAGTGCCACGGGAGGCCCCAGCATGCAACCTATGCAGCCTAGCCCACTTGGGAACAATGCTCCTGATCCTGTTGTTACAGGTGGCGGTAATGCCCTGTGACAATGATGCCTATCTATATCTGTTTTATTTCTCACTTGTTGTACAGCATTAACGCGCTGTGATCAAGGTGGATATGCCGAACCCCTTGCATCTGTACCGAGTTGATCGGTCAATTCTACTTGGCCTGATCTAAGGATCAGATGACTGTGTTCTTTATATGTGCTGATCTCTACTCATACATAATTTTTGTTGTTTCACTCTGTCGCATATGTATACATTACTTACTGTCGTGGTGGTTCACTTTTGATCGAACATTACTGGACATAGATGAGTCGTTATAATCATGTCACGGACTTTTCGCGGACCTCACTCTTTGACTCCCTCGTTATGCACTCCTAACAATACTATTAACGATGGATGATGCTAATCATGCATTTTGATTCCCCTCTCCCATAAAACCAATCGTTGAATTCAAGTTTTGAGTACTCACCTGTAGTACTAGTTGAGCATTCCACCTATGACTCAGAGCATTGTTAAACAGTCTGTATAATAACCCAGGGCACGTCGCGAGCATAAGGTGTCCCCAAACAAGAACTCAGCAAGTCATGTTTCAAACAGGTAAGCGCGAAGTAATTGATTAATCGATTAATATCGACTTAAATGAAGTTGGGTTTATCAAATATCAAATATCAAATATCAAATAGCTCACAACGTCCGAAGACGAGCGGAATGTCACGTTCCTTTGCCTGTGCGGGCACACGTGGCCGATGCTGCGGTTCAGTGTTTCAGAAGTCGAGCTGCGGGCTGGGGCATCATGATAACACTGCCACTTTCGTTTTCTCTCAATCTTCATTCAGTATGGACTCCGATGGCTATGGCAAGATCTCCCTGCACTGGCAGACCTGAATGTTAACATTCATCATCCGACAAAATGGTTGAGTCACCTGTTCGAACAAAGTACTACTACAAACAGTCTGACAACATAAGCTACTCCTCCCAGTTGCCTACGATGGTAGAGTGTCCAACAAAAGGTTCAGGATACCAAGGAAAGCTGATGCTGATGTGCACGCTAAGACAAGCGCACCGATCCAGGCAGCCTTAGCCTGTGCAGCTTGGGCTGTGGTTTCGATAATCACATCATACGCTGCCCCTCCCCTGCTAAACACGCTGGAATTGCAGAAACACCTATCATAGAAGTTGGAGTACTGGAATACAGACGCCATGATCGCCAAAAAAAAGTTTAATATGGCAAACAATTTGCCCGTCCACCGCAGAATGTGCGAAAACGCCAAAGCAACACGCGTAGATAGCGATGCTCGGCGAGGGTCAGCGGCGGCAGAGTGGGCGAGAATACTGGATATCAGGAGCATCATCCAAACTAACGTCGAAATGGCTCCATAAAGGAGATAACCCAAAGATCGACACCCGATTTTCTATCAGAAGTTAGCCAACTCGATTACAAGTATACAGGAAGACCCACTGTTGTAGGAGTGAACCACCCCACCACAAATGCTGCTCCGACTGTCCCCCATTGTAATGCAAGCGAAGCGCAGGAAGCGGTGAACATTCTTGTGAACACACCAGGTGCCCAATGGCTGCATTGACTCTGCACCCCGTCGGGTTCTGCACAGTACATAACGGAATATTGGAGGGACCCGCGTCGGTCCTTTTTGTCGTAATTGTCTTGCTTAGTGTCGATGTACTGGACGATCTCAATGTGGTCGGTAGGGTCGTTAGTACCAGATTCGTTCCCATCACTCCCACCAGCAGGAAGATGGCTATGAACCTTCTCTGATGCCTCTGAGTCTTCTTTGAACACCGCGAAGACAGTCTCTGCTGTAGATGCCCATCGTAGCGAACGCGAGTAATTGAACACCGGAGGGGTGAACAGTTCGTCTGGTGACATCACATCATTCTCTTTGGCAGTGATTGCCAACGCTCGCCGGGATGACGCAGGAAGCGCCCCGACACCATGACGAACGTCTTTTGTTCCTATGTGCATACTATGTCTGTCTGCACGGTCATACGCAGCTTGTAAGCGCTCGAAGTTGCATTTTGGGGAGAGTTGCAGCCATCCGACGACTATCGGAATCAACCACAACCACATTGAACCAGTGGCCTCTCCGTTGGATTGAACGTTTGCATAAACGTTAGATAGTGAGTTGGCAACTGTCAGGATATAGGCGACAATGACCCATGCAATGGAGGTTGCGGACGCGATTGACCACGTATGGGTGTAGTCCACAAATTCAGCGAGACATTTCCACCACTCGGTTTCCGGAAGGATGAGAGAGGGTAAGCGTTCGCGATCAGGATGCAGTCTAAGAGGGACTTGTTGAAGACTGCTCAAGATAGAGAGGGCGAAGCGTGAATTAGGATGATCGTTCAGCAAGTCAAATCGGCGGGTGATCCAGCGAGAGTTGAGGAGGGTAATGAATAAAGAGTAACCGGCGAGTGTCGGTGATCCAATGGTCAACACAGCAGACATGAGGTTATCAAGCCTGTACTGTGCCCCAAAGGGGAGCTGCGAAATCAGTGCAAGATTTGGCAGCAGCCACGCGCTGAATTCTTGCGAAAATTCAGACCACTGGAAAGCTTCTTGCCCAGTCCCGCAGCTGGATGTACACATATAGTAGCTGATCGATGTTGCATCAGTGATATTTGATACGGGATTTCCGTTACCATCGAGTAAACCATTTAAGTCGCCAGTAGTATTTGCATTCTGAACGATATCGTTCAGACACTGATCGAAGTTGACTGCCGCGACGACTGTTCCTGCAGCGTGAAACAGTAGTAAGAGAGCTACGCCAAAGTAATAAATGAGGAAACCAGAAACCCATAGTCCAGTCATTGCGCTTACCTGCCTGAGAGCCTTTGTGCAAGCGCATCAGATTCGTCGTATCAACTATTAGGCCTGTATGAATCGGTTTGAACCTACCGGAAACAGCGTCTCTGCTTTTATACTCCGAGTCCAATGACTGTCAAGGAGGCTCCACGCATCAGATCTAAAGGGCAGTGTTCTTGAAGCCGCAATGTCAATTTGTTCGGTGACTTCCGACTCGAAAGAGGGCAGCGGGCCTGAAAATGACATAAGGCCCATCTCATTAATCATGGCTATGAAGTCCTGATCTGCGTTGTCCACCAGGGAAGGTTTGTCTACCAAGCTGCCAAAAAGATCGTGTACAGCGTGTACTAGTACATGGACAGGTTACGCAGGCAAAATACAAGTGCCACACACACACACATACATGCGCAATTATAAGGAACAAGGTACAACCGGAAATATAGTGTATGTAGTAGTATATTATCTTCGGAGACCTCATATAGGTACGAGATCAGTCAATAAACTCATGTAAAAAATGAATCCCAAAGAGGTAGACCCGGCCAAAGCCAACGCTCCGAACCAAGCAGCTCTGGTTTGATCTAAGTTTACACCATCGAATAAGACAATGTCATAAGCATATTGGGCCCCTCTCCCCAACACACTTGAGTTGCAGTAACAGTTATCATAGATATCTGTAAACTGCAGCATCCCCGCCGCAATGATCCAAATTGCATTGACGATTGCCACCAACTTCCCTCCCCATCTCAAAAGGTTTGATGCTAGTTTTACGAGCCCGAGGGTGGTAGATGAGAAATAACTCCTGGGTCTGTCCGAGTATGAGAATGCGTAGTGCGACAGGATGCTCGACATAACGAGCATTGCCCATACTACCGTTGCAAGTGCGCCATAGATGAGGTAACCAAGGGATCTACAACCAAGGCCCTGGCGTGTGCCGCTAATCAACAACAGACGCAGATAAGCTCACATCAAATAATGCTTACAACAGTTGGAGTTAGATACACAACTATTACCGCAGATCCAGTTGTTGCCCATTGCAAAGCTAGTGGCAGCAGCGAGGCCACGAACATGCGAAAGAACATCCCTGTCGCCCAGGGGCTTCGTACCGTGTATCGAGGAAGTCTGCAATAAGCATTGACTTCAGATGCGTTGCCCTTCCTGTTGCCGGGCTCAATAAAGTTCCTCCTATTCGAGTTCATCCATGTAGCACCAATCATGACCGGTCTGTGTAATTTGGCATTGTTGGAGGCTATTCGAAAAGCATTGAAGACATCCTCCGCAGACCGAGACCATGAAATGGCCCTGGCATAGTTATATACGGGCGGAGTCAACATTTCGTCGTCAGACGAAGGACTTTCTGTATCAGCATCAATAGATACTGCTCGCCTCTCCGAAACATCGGAAGCCTTTATAACAACTCCATGGTCGGTGGCCACAAATGCCATCGCATCCGCGTTATCCATGGCCTTTCTAACGCGCGCATAATCGCACTTCGGGGACAGTTGCAGCCAACCTATGACGATTGGGATAAGCCACAACCACACCGATCCCGTCCCTTGACCGTTGGAGTTGATGTTGGAGGAGACGTCGGATAGTGAGCTGGCGACTGTCAGTAGGTAGGCGATAACGACCCATGCAATCGATGTGACAGATGCGATGGACCAGGTATGAGTGTAGTCGAGAAAACTGGCAATGCTTGGCCACCATTCATCATTCTAACCATGTTTTTGCAACTACCTTTAGGTTATGCTTGCGTTATGGTATCTCAAAGGCCCTCATTTTGCGCAAATATGCAAATGTCATATTTGTGTGAAACATAAGTACCCTCATTTTGCGCAAATATGCAAATGTCATATTTGTGTGAAGTGAAACATAAATACCCTCATTTTGCGCAAATATGCAAATGTCGTATTTGTGTGAAACATAGTACCCTCATTTTGCGCAAATATGCAAATGTCATATTTGTGTGAAAAGTATGTACCCTCATTTTGCGCAAATATGCAAATGTCATATTTGTGTGAAACATATGTAACCTCCTCTTCTTAAAATATGTAAAAGGCCCTCATTTTGCGCAAATATGCAAATGTCATATTTGTGTGAAAAGTATGTACCCTCATTTTGCGCAAATATGCACATGTCATATTTGTGTGAAACATAAGTACCCTCATTTTGCGCAAATATGCACATGTCATATTTGTGTGAAACATAAGTACCCTCATTTTGCGCAAATATGCACATGTCATATTTGTGTGAAACATAAGTACCCTCATTTTGCGCAAATATGCACATGTCATATTTGTGTGAAACATAAGTACCCTTATTTTGCGCAAATATGCACATGTCATATTTGTGTGAAACATAAGTACCCTTATTTTGCGCAAATATGCACATGTCATATTTGTGTGAAACATAGTACCCTTATTTTGCGCAAATATGCACATGTCATATTTGTGTGAAACATATGTACCCTCATCTTGCGCAAATATGCACATGTCATATTTGTGTGAAACATAAGTACCCTTATTTTGCGCAAATATGCACATGTCATATTTGTGTGAAACATATGTAACCACAGCATGAAAAATCTGAAAAGGCCCTCATTTTGTGCATATATGCACATGTCATATTCGCGTGATAAATATGCACCCTCATCTTGCACAAATATAAACTTTTCATATTTGTGGGAAAAGTATGTACCCTCATCTTGCACAAATATAACCATCTCATATTTGTGTGGAATTACCATATCATGTAAATAAAGTCAGTGTGTCAGTCTGGAGTCCGGACACTCTGAGTGTGTTATTATACAAGGTTGAGATCGCCATATGTAGTCTTTGTATACCAAAGTCAGTCAGGTCAGTCTGGACACTCTGAGTGTATTATTATACAAGGTTGAGATTACCATATGTAGTCTTTGTATACCAAAGTCAGTCAGGGCAGTCTGGAGTAGTCTATAATATGGTATAGTCCAGACTGACCTGACTGACTTTGGTATACAAAGACTACATATGGTAATCTCAACCTTGTATAATAATATATCAGAAAACCTATATTTTTCCTGGTTGATCTGTAGGGCCTAATACCAGCACATTCAGCACCATCAGACATCAGACCCAGTGAAAGTCGGACATACGGGTTTCAACCCGCAGCAACACACATATACTGTGGCTGTGGCACTTTGTATTGCATACACACGCGTCGGTATCTGCGCTTTCCGTAGCTGCGAAAACGACGCGCATTGGCGCTGGTGTATGCTTTTTGATGCGTTGACTACTAGATATAATTCTGTAGATCTGAATATAAATATGTATCCCTTTGATATCTTGCTGGTTTCAACGCAAATATACGGAAATCGATGTATTGCAACATAGCATACAATACAAAACATGCCAATAAAATCCACCCGCGCTGGTTCGCGCCAGCTCCTCCGTCCAGGATTGTCCTACCCTGGTGCCCAGCTAATGCAACGTGCCGCTAAAGAACTTCGTAAGGACTTCGGTCCACACACGGTCGCCAATCTAGATAGAATACACAAATAAGTATACAATGAATCGAAATAGTATCAATTACTCACCAGATTCGAAGCCTCGATGTTGTAGTTCTGTCGTAGTAAGCATTACAACGAGAATACAACATGGGATAACAAGAATGAAAACGATACCCCTCGACGCGTCTTTTCGAGTGAGTCCCAATAAGTCTTGAACTCTGGCAAGGAGCAATTTGGCATCAGCCCCTTCACCAGCGATGGCCGCAGAGCTTCTGAAGGAAAATATTTGAGTTGTCAAAAGACGAAAGAAACAAAGCATTACACTCACCTGTTGCTTTGAGTTGATGTTCGTGATATTCATTGGCGCCCAAGCCATACCGCCTCATTATGTTGTATCGCTAGCAGAAAAGCAACATCCAAAACCTAGACCAACAACATATCAGTGAATCAGTACATCAGTAGCGAAAACAAATGCACCAGCTGTTCATTTTGAGCCTGTTACTGGAAGGTTGAGTTGAATGAGTGATTATATGTGTTCTGTTTCGAATGTGTTCATTTTTGCAGAGTATAACACAACCAAGGCAACAAACTCACATCATCTGACGAGGAAAATCTGTGTTTGCCCAGGAGTTGTGCGGCTGTGATGTAGTAGAAAGAGCGAAGTTTTGTTGAGATGACTGATGGTTGTCACAATGGTGGTGGTACAAGAAAGGGATGCAACATATTTGCATTGATAAGGGTGAGAGGAGAGTTCATTGAAGTTCCGAATCACAGGTAAGTGGAGCTGTTGAAATGTTGAAGTTGGATTAAGTGTGGCGAAGTACGAAATACTTGAGCAACAAAATATGTATTACGCACGGACCTCCAGTTGAACACGACGGTTGAACTGCATGTAAGCCTGTCTTGCAGAGCATGCTGTACTGCTCAAATTTCAAATCGTAGACAGATTGTTCAACATGTGTTTGCACAACTTCGATGTCCATCGATATGAGTCTAATGACTACTCAAAACTTACAAATCCGTTGACCCCCATGGAAATGGCTATGTCCGACTTTCACTGGGCATCAGACATTGTCTGACATCAGAGAGGTCCACTTCTGGTATCAGACATGTAGTTCTGATTTCAGACACCAAATCTCACTGACCTGAGGCCAGTTATATGTCTGATGTCACACATGTCAGGTCTGCAGTCAGACAAATGTCTGAGATCAGACATTTCAGAAAGTTTGGTGAAAACTAAAGAAAATTATTATTGCATGTGGCAGGAGTTGAACTCATGACTTTTGAAGTGCAGGGCACATCATATGACCTATGCACACAACCTCAAGCAGCATCAACCACTTGGCCACAAGACCTTTCTTACATATAACTACAAAGTATACATATACCATACCCTACTCGACTTAGAAATATTTTTTGTTTCACTTCTTCAACAATTACTTTATAATCCATCTATCTCAACAAAATTTGTGAGATTAATTGAGACAAGTCTATCACTAGTTTTATCCTATTCTTTGTTGACATTTAAGCAAAATATATGTTAAATAAAAATGTACTAATAATTCATTATCTAGGCCTCCTGAGAAGGAGGCCGAGGAACGAGGCCTCTGCTGCAAGGATGGGCATGAATTTCAGTCTACAACTAGTAGTGTACTAGGCAGACCACCCCTATGCACACGTGCTGCAGTCCACCTTCTCCTAAGATAGGCCACTGCTACAACGGGAGGGAGGGGCTAGTAGAGCAGAGGGCAGCAGTTTTGATCCTGCGAAAGATCTTGTCAGGGGGGCTTGAACGCTGCCCCGACCACTCGTACTTCTAGTTCTATGTAGGATCCTCTTCCTTTTAAGCTATTTCGACTAGAGTAAATGGTCTGTGCCCTTGTGATAAGGGCAGGCTGCGATAGCCTTTGTAGCACTCGAGCTCGCGCTAGGCTCGTATTCAGCCATTTCACGCATCACGTCAAATGTCCATAGCGCTATATTTACTTCCCAATGCAACCCGACGCATATCCGCCAAACCCAACACTTTGACCAGCGGACCCAACACATTGGCCGCATCAGACCCAATGTTTTTCCCGCACACTTGTCCTATCCGTGTCTTGTCTTGTCAGCTAGCCCCACTAGGTGCATAGTTGATTATTTCGCACATTACTCATGTTGTAGCCAGTGCTATCACATGTTTTCCCATAGTCCGCAGTGCCTCGTGTTTATTTACATGTACATCGGACCCGAAATTCTTCAGCCGCTACTTTTGCCTATAGGGTCCTGGATTTCTACGTACTTATATATATATTGGTTTCCACATAGCACATTCATCATCCAAGTAGTAGGGAGCCGTTTCCTGATGCTTTGTGGTCAAACCAGATATTTCGTAGTTCTTAGTTGACATTGCATTAATCCACTTACCACTTGCTATACCTAACGTACTTTTCCTAACCCGACGCAAACCCGCTGAACCCGCACCCAAAACTCACTAACCCGCTAAACCCAAAAACATCGGCCAACACTTTGGCATCAGACTCGTAATTATACCTTCAGATTGTGTTTCTCGCGCTCAGACTTTTGACAGTTTATTGATTGACTACCAATAGACTTATTCCAATAGCAAACCCCTCAGGTCGAACACACTTGTCTAGCAAGTATAGCAGACTAAGCTGTGCAAGACCACTACAACATTTTTATATTGCTGACACTTACTTCGTATAGTATCAAGCATTGTTATATCTTTACACTGTCAATGGACTCATGACCAGACTTAAACAAATGAAGGTATAACTATAACGGGTTATATGTAACAGGAGAGTGTGATTCTTGCAGTCTAGGCCTTAAACCCTGCGACCTGAACACATATGACTGGACTATGCTACTTTCGTTGACATAGCCAGATTTGATCGAGACCATATAGGTAGCTAATGTTTAGTCATAGACTGAGATGTGTGATATAGTCACTCAAAAAAGTATTGTACCAAATTGTTTATCTGCATCTCTGCAATAACACTATATTTTCTAGTTATGTGCAACATGACATTATAGTTCAGAACCTGCTCACACTAAAAGTACAATATTGAAAATGCCACTTTCAACTACATCACCATGTTATTTTTGGTTCCAAGTCATTTCAGAAGAATACAGGGCAGCTAATTCTGAATAACTTCCATTAAGAAATAAATACAAAACTGTAGTTGAAAAGTAGCAGGCAAACCTTGTACTAATGATCTTGGTAGATCTGACAAACTGTTACATCTGATATTACTCAATAACCTGACTGTCTGATGTCTGATTTGTCTGACCATGCTGATAGTCTATATGGTCTGTGACTCTGACCTCTGTTGTGTCTGAAATAACTGATCTGCCTGTTTACCTGATGTCTGAAGTGTCTGATTAGACTGATAGGTCTGACTGACTGCATGCTGATGGTGCTGATGTGCTAATTTGTCTTTTTAGTGTCTGATATCAGAGCAGTTGTCTGAACCAGATTTTGATCTGATATAAGATTCATCAGACTGATTCAGACATCTCAGATAAATCAGGAAAAAATCTAGGTTTCCTGATGTACACTCAGAGTGTCCAGACTCCAGATTGACACACTGACTTTATTTACATGATATGGTAATCTCAACCTTACATCTAGTCATTCCATGCAGATAGGAACATTCAATCATCCACCAAATAAGTCATATGTATTCCATGATACCTGATAACCATAAAAATTATGCATATATATTATGCAATGTGGGGGCTAAAACACTAATGATTGATGAGGGAAGTGAGCATATTGAAACTGCCAAACATTGATATTCGGTGCAATTTGTGGTTGCCACAGTGGGCTTAGATTCACAATCTTATAGGCTAATCTCATAATTTGGTTAGTCAGTCACTCATGACAATTTCTGAATGATGATCTTAAGAAGAAAGGAAGAATGGGAGAATGGTTTCGGAAATGCTCAGGCACTCGCATGGTTTGCGCTTACACTGCGTAGATACACTTAGATCTAAGAAGTAAAATATGATGGTTTCAGAAACACTCAGGCGCTTTCGCATATTTTGCTTACCTCACTTAAACCTGTTTTTGGAAATATCACATGGTTTTCTCATGTGGCTTTCAAGCACCGACTCAATATCCTTTGCCCTTTAGAACAGTGCCACATTTATTCATGAAATTTGAGTGTTTTGTTACAAGTATTGTAACAACTGTATATACACAAAGTAAATAGTCAAAATAAAATGGTGAATGACAAAATGTAGTGAAAAGATAAACAAATAAAAAGGGAAAAAAGGAAAAAAGGGAAAAGACAATGAAGAGACAAAACCTGGGGAAGGGAAGAATTGGGACATGAAAGATATAAGAAAATTGGAACATTGCTGGGAGAACAAGAGAAGAGATGGGAGATGGGAAGCAGGTAAAATGGGAAAATAAATACATTTAATGATACTGTTACATATTTTGTAATTTTACTTCTGTCAAACTCCTGCTCAAAGAATGTAGAACTGACTGATCTTATGTACTATGTATGTTTACATAGATTGTACTACTTTTGGTTTTTTTTGAAATGCTGCTCATAAATGTATTTTCAAAATCCACTATCAGTGCATGATCTTATTCAGAATACACAATTTATTAGGATGAAGCCTGAGGCCAGGAAGCAAAAGGGGGGCACAGCCCTCCTTGGCTTCCTGTGATGAAGGAACAATGCTCATCAGGAGCCTTCAGAATTATTGGGATGAAGCTGAGGCCAGGAAGCTAAAAAAAAGAGCGCTTCACACTCTTGTTTGCTTCCTGTGCCGAAGGCAGAATAGGTGTGTGCTAGTACAATATTCATGGTGATATGGTCTACTTGTAATTACAAGGTCATTATACATGTGGATTAGTTCTAGAGCAGCGTTATGCATGGCA